CCGCCGTAAATTTATGAACCGGTGGCATATAGTTGAACCAACGTTTATGTATTCTTTGTTATTGGATCGTTTTATTAACTCACGAACTAGCTTACAGTTTCTTTCGTATATTATCTGTATTTGATTTTAGTTTGAATTGTATTAGGTCAAAAACATTATTGCAATCTCCTTTTTTGTTCACACAAAACAAAGTGTAGGTACCTGAAGTTCTCGCTACTGTTAACAATTTTTAAACTATTATTATTAAGGTAATTTAACCGAATCCGATACCTATATTAGACTTACAACATTTGTCAACAATAAAACCAATTTCGACAAATATAAAAAAACAACTTTCTCAAAAATCTCTTAGGAAGCTTCGGTGTGTTATAAATCAAAAACTCACAGAAACGTCTTTTCTTTTCAGATGGGCTGCAAGCTGACATTTGTCGACGACATCCTGAACAAATCCTTCTACAAGCTCGGCCTAGTAGTTGGGAAACAGCCAGGTTACTTCATCATCATCCCAGTCCTACTAACTTTGGTGATGATCACTGGCTACCAAAGGGTTCACTATGAAATGGATCCTGAATACCTGTTCTCTCCAGTCAGCGGCCAAGGAAAACTGGAACGGAGGATAGTTGAAGAGCATTTTAAAGTCAACTACTCCCACAGGTTTAACGTTGGAAGAATCACGAGAGCTGGTGAGTCATTTGTTTTACTTGTCCTTTAAATTTTAACAGCATATCTAGATCAGTATCTCCCGAGTATTAGTCACGACCGTGTGTAAATAGTAGTATAGCGATAGTTCAAAGAGTAGGTCGTGAAAGAATATTACGTGAGCTCTAACGGGCGATTCACTACTGTACAATACATATATATTTTTCAATTTAAATTATAACAAATACTTCTTCCATACAGCGTTTAATAGTTCCTTGCTTTGCCATACGTGGTCCCCAGATTGGAAAAATAATGTTAGATGGGTCGGTTCCCACTCAACTTTAGGGACCACTAACTTAGATTAATCTAAGTAACATTGTAAATGCGCTTTGAACACGCAAAAAGAGATTAATAAGTACTTTAAAGCAGTAGATATAAAGTTTATGGACAGACTCGCTCACGCAATTTACATTACATATTTAGCAGGTAACTTTTGCAAAAGTTTGTCATTTGTAAAATCTTTAAAAATCGTCGGATAAGAACTAGGGTACGTGCAGTGGGTTATGTATTCCATTCCCATAATTAGCTCCTTTACTTTACATTGTTCATTCCATTTATTGTTGTTTTGTTTTCCGTTACATTCTTCATTCTATTTATTTACGAGTGTGTTGAACCATTGATATAAATTTAAGATTATTATTTATGTTAAAATGTTACAGAAAAATGAATTCGAAGGAAAAAATACTAAAATGTGAATTTTTATACGATTAGTTTTTGAAGGATAAATGATTTTATGTTGAAAATTAGGAATATGTAATTACCATTTATATTGTTATTAAAAAATAATAAAAAAAGAGGTATTTACTGTAGGTAGAAGTCCTATAAGTACAAAAACATAATTTATTAAAACGTGTTTAACGTTTTCAATACGCCGTGATCGTTACGTAACGCAAACGAACAAAATATATATAAAGTATCAACAGTTTGTGTCGAAGTTATTTCAAAATCTGGAAAATATTCTAAAAACCGGTTGTGAGCTGTTATAAATCATATTAACAAGTTTAAATTTTACTACGTAACATCTTAGATTTTTTTTGATGGCTTATATCTACTAATATTATAAAGATCTTCAAAAATACTAGTGCGATCATGAAAATTATTTCACCTACAGGAAGTTGCATCATAAGCGAGTGATATAGGTTATAGTTTACGTATGCGAAATAACGGGAAAACGGCTAGTATAAAACATATTGAGACTAGGAACTAAGTTTTAATTTAAAAAAATTGTGTCCTTTTATGTTGTGTCGTGAGAAAAATATCAGTTTCATGTATTTAGTATGGTTAAATAGGTACTTTCACATTTATTAGTATATACGTTTCATACTAATGTATAAACAATGCGTCAACAACGACACAACACGGTACATAAATACGTTTTCATCTTAAGCCATTAGAAGAAAGAAGATTTCTGTATTACATTTTCTTCAAAGTACAACAAAACTGCAAAATTTCCTCATATAATCTCAGCCAATAAGAATGGAGACATTGAACAAAAACTAATAAAAAATCTTTCACAGGAAGATTCGGTCGCGTGATAACAGTATCCAAGGACAACACCACGAACATGCTAAGGACAGAGGTTTGGAAGGAGCTGAGAGAGTTAGACGAGTTGGTGCAAAATATAACCGTCACGTTACCCGGCGGAGAAACATTCACGTATCGTGAGGAGTGCGCGCGTTGGGAGGGTCAGTGTTTCGTCAACGATATCTTGAACCTCGACAAAATCATTGGAGAGGTAAGTAATATCAAATCATCATCAATCTACTAATGTCCCCATTGCTGAGGTACAGACTTCTCTATGGATAGAATCAAATAGAGAAAACGAGCCTTATCCAATCACGCTTGGTTAGTACAGGATGTTTCAAATTAAAAAAAAAAGAGCTAAGGAGTTTTTCAATAAAATGTTTATTTATTCCTAAAATAAATTCTTTGGGACTTTATTTATTAAAAATAATGTTGTTCAAATGTTTCCCCTCACGTTCGCGCCACTAAAAATTCGTAAACCTTCAAAACCTAGAACACCAAAACTAAAATAAATTTTGAGCTTTGCTCATCAACAAATTAATTATCAAAATCGATTGGGGAACTCCAGTATCTTGTACACACGATATAAAATTTTGTTAGAAATGTTCAAGGTTTAAAAGCAAGCGAAAAAAATTGACAGATTTATATAACCTGATGTGTTGTCAAATGTACCGGATAGTATTTATTTCACCCGAAAAAATTATAAATAGCTAGTTACTTGCACACATTCATTCAGCACACATTCATGATACTACCCAAAACAAAACAAAAAACATTCAAATGCAAAGATTAGCATATTTTTCTATGTCAGGTTTAAAGTCAGTAGTTCGACTAGTTTAGGTAGGGATAGTCCTAATACTTTCTCCTTTACGAAAATAACTGTTTAGATATTTTTACTAAAAAGTGCCACAGTACAAATCCCCTTAAAATAAAATATTTACAAGTCAATTTAAACGTTGAAATTGACTACCTCTTTTCCCGTGACTTCACTCTCGTAAATTATATCCTGTCACCCGCTTATGATGTAGCTTCCCGTATGAATTGAAATAGTACTTTTGCAACCTAACGAAACCTTTCATTGAAAGCAAACTAACAAACAATCAATATTTTCCTCCTTTAATATTAGTTTAAAAAACAAACTTTAAACAGTGATTTATTCTTGATAAAAAAAAATAAGTACACGAAGAACATTTCGAAATTTACACCTAAACAAAACTGTGATGTTTGTTGGTGCTTTCTATTGGGTTTAGTTTGTGCTAAGCTTTAATAATCCACTTTATAAAATGACACCAATCGTCAATTTCTAAGCTATTTATTACCTCCATGAGCTTCAAATTCATTTCGCACGAAATAATCGACTTGCCAACTTTAACACCTAAAATTAGTTCAAGGAAACTAACATTTAAAGTCACAGGAAGTTCACGTTTATCCAATGCCACGGTCGCGAATTCGTTTGCTGGACTCATTGCTTTGTCATTCAGGACCATTGCGTGTAATCACCGTGGATCACTGAATCACTCGGTCGTTTAAAAATACAATAGACAATTATTACTCACACTACAGAGCCGCAAAGTACATGTTCATCGTATAAACAATGGTATAGAATACCACCCTCGATGACACCTCCACTGATTTATTGGAAACACCAAACTTTTTGCATTTCCTTCATTCGTTAAGGACTTTAAAATAACTCCGTTAAGTTTTGAGCCTATATTTCAACATCACAACGAAGTATCTGGCATACCAACCTCCTTATATGTTATACTAGTCTAGAAACCTAAACAGCCTAGTAGAGGACAAGTAGTGACAATAATTAGTTAGAAAGTTCAGCTTGTAGTAAAGTATCAAGAGCTTGATAACACAGTGGTTTGCGCTTACGGAAGCACCTTTAGAAAGACCGCCAATAGATTATTGCTATCTCCTATAGTTATTAACATACATCATTCCACACTGGATCATATAGGCTGACGGTGATTATGGAGTTGGAACCGAGTACGTAACGATTTCTTGAAAGCACATTTATAACAACTGAAAACGATACTGCGCCCGTTTACCGTAGCCTTCATAATGAAGACCAGGGTAACGAGATGTCTTCGAAGGGCTGGTTCGCACTTTTTAGGGGCGGCATCATAATAAAAAAATATTTCAATAACTATAATTCAGACCGAGTGAAAAGAGCACGGAATTTTTCATTACTTATTTATCCTGTAGATTCTTTGACAAGAGGCAAGTTAGCTCGAAATGAATTTCAATAATTCGCCTCCTATACATAATCTATTGCGAGTAGCCGTAACTAGCTTAGTAAAGCCGAGCCCGAACCTTAGGCCTAAACCTAAGCAAAATTATATAATACTAGGTAATTATAACTGTTCTTACCAAAATGTTCTCTAGAATTAATGTACATATATCGCACACCTAGATCTAAACTAAGACAACTCAAAAAACTAATGTGGAGGTCGGACAATACATTTGTTTACGTGGCAGGAACGCGACCACTGTTGATTCCGCAAAAGAAAGCTAAAGTTATCTAGAGGCTCATCCCCGAACCTTTATTGAATCTGTTATGTCAGATAGATGCATATGATCACCGAGAATTTGAATATTGTACAAAGTCAAAACTCACTCAAATTTTTGAGTTGTCTCAGTTTAGATCTAGGTGTGCGATATAAGTAGGTACATTAAATTAAGATAGGTACCTAAATAAGAGGGTGGCAATTTTTTTCCGCCCCAGGCTGACTATACCCACGCCGCCGACGGCATCTTTTTGAAACTACACCTATGTACCCAATCTTATTTGATTAATTTTATTGTCTGTATCCTGCTTGAGTAAACGAATCTTCTGGTTATATATACAACCCGAAAATTGAAGTCTAGAAGTGATTGATTATTTCCGACAGAACACATGAAAGCGATTCTGCTAAATCACTTTATAAGTTTATACGTATACGTAAATAAATTTGAAACAAGATATTACACAAATTTTTTCGTATTAAATATGTTAAATTATCAAAAATTTTAGAAAATTTTCTTGTTTACGAGAATGCATATACAAACGTTAAATGTCTTTTTTGTAGAAGAATAATGCGTGCTTATTCTAATTCCAAATTAACTTATTTCCATAGCACACAAATCTAAAGACATTTTACTTTTTTAATTTCCAGGTTGAGCGCGGTGAACTAAATCTCACTTTCCCAATAATGTTCAACCCAGTCACGTGGGAAGCCCACGCTTTTCCCGTATTCTTTGGCGGGTCCAAGGTCGTGGACGACATTATAGAATCGGTACCTGCAGTCCAACTAGTGTGGTTCGTGAGAACTGATAACAAGTTACAAGAACAACGGTAAGAATATCCAAATACATTGAATTTTTAGGCTATTTTATAAAGATTTAGCTGTATTCGGGTTTTAGTTTTTGAACGTATTTTTTTATTTAAGCCCTTTCATTTGATACCCTACACGGCATAATTGAATATTTTTTTAGTTTTTCACTTTATGCTCTCTAGAGGGCACTCTTGCCAATTTGATATAATATTACATAGTCTATAGCACGCGGACAGCTAAGGTGCTTCTAATGACACCTCATTTGTCCTAGTATAAAGAGTAGTTTCGAAATTATAAGGAAACAGATGCACATTCGTACATATATACATACAGGCCAAAAGCATAACCCCTCTTTTCGCTTCGCCGTAGTCGGGTAAAAAGATAAAATAAAACTTACTTAATTTTGCTTTTAATCCAATTTCCAGTGGCGCAGCATGGGAGGACGCGTTTCTCGAAGCTGTTGGTGTTGCAGAAGACACCGGCCGTTTCAAGCACATATCTATCGCTCGATTTGGTTCAAGAACTCTGGATCACGAGTTGGAAAAAAACACAAGAACAGTCATCCCCTACTTCGGTTCTACATTTATACTAATGGGCGTATTCTCTGTCGTCACATGCATGATGGCTGACTGGGTCCGGTCTAAACCTTGGCTGGGTTTACTTGGTAACATTTCTGCCGTTATGGCAACCGCTGCGGCTTTTGGTTGCGCTATTTATTTGGGCATCTCCTTCATCGGCATCAACTTAGCTGCTCCTTTCTTAATGATTGGTAAGTTCGATAACAGTAAAACAAAAGACATTCTAGAATAAATAATAAAAGTATAGTAGAACCTCATCTTGGAAGTCGATATTCCACTATGATTTATATCATAGGATACGGAGTTAGTCGAGATCCTAGTGAGATCATAAAATCTGAAATTAATAGCAATATTTTTAATTTCATTTTCTAGGTATTGGTATTGACGACACGTTTGTGATGCTAGCGGCTTGGCGACGAGCTTCCTCAAAATTGGATGTACCTGAACGGATGGCAATAATGCTTTCGGAAGCTGCCGTATCTATCACGATCACCTCCGTCACAGATATGTTATCGTTCTTCATCGGTATATTCTCACCATTTCCTTCAGTGCAGATCTTCTGCATGTATTCAGGTACATTATCTATCACTTATTATTTAAAGAATATGTGAGACCATAATCATCAAATGACAGAATGATAATTGAATATCAAACACTTGCTGCCATGATAAAATACTATCGCAATTAAAGCCTTGCTGTAAAATAATAGTAAAATTCTTAAAATTTTTAAGGTTTAGATGTTAAATTATCAAACTTTGTTTTTGCGATATCTGTTCAAATCTTAACAAGTCTTGCTTCAAAATATATACAAATATTAAAGAGGTAGTTTTCTACTGTTTGTATGTAGATAATCATCAAATATTATGTCAAATTTGTGTGGGATCTCGATGGAAAACAGCTTAAGAAAAAAGTAAGCAAAATATAAAATTATTTTCATCAGACCAACAGTTTTCATATTTTCCAGGTCTAGCAGTTTGTTTCACATTTATCTGGCATCTCACCTTTTTCGCCGGTTGTGTAGCGGTCTCCGGGTACAGAGAAAAACAAAATCGACACACCATCACTATGTTGAAAGTACTGCCAGAATCCAGAGCCCGCAAAGGTTACTTCCATAATTTTCTGTTTCTTCTGTTCACTTTTTTGATTCATTTCCTACGTATCACAAATAGTTTCAGGCATATGATTACCTATAAATTTAATTATATGTGTTTTCTTGTTGCAGAAAAAAAATCTTGGATATACCGGATATTCTGTACAGGCGGAATTGACCCGGCTGATCCTGACAATCCTATAGACAACAAGGAACATTGTATAATGTCATTTTTCAAAACAACAATGGCGGACATCCTTAACAATGGAATAGTAAAAACTTTTGTCATCATCATTTTCATAGCTTATTTGGCAGGGGCTGGGTACGGAGTCACCAATCTTAATGAAGGTCTTGAAAGAAAGAAACTTTCAAAAGAGGATTCATACTCTGTGGAGTTCTTCGATCGAGAAGATCTTTATTACAGGGAGTTCCCATACAGAATTCAGGTCAGATTTAAAGAAATATAATGCATTTAACTTATTACATCACTAGTTATAACACGGGTATGATTACAATTTGACAATTTCATTTTACAGGTGGTGATAAGCGGTAATTACAATTATTCAGATCCAAAAATACAGGATGAAGTGGAATTTTTAACTCAGAGATTGGAGAATACATCGTATATATCTAATTCCCTGTATACAGAGTCATGGCTTCGAACATTCATCAATTACGTATCTCGGAATAACGACTACTTGAATGTCACCATCGACAACGAACCGGACTTTATTCGAAATCTTAAAAAAGTGAGTACTTTTTTTACTATGTTTTTAATTGCAGATAAATTTCCATACTTGCTTCAATAAGTAAATGTACAATCAACAGTATCTTTATTTAATTTAAACATTTATTAATAAAAAATCTGCTGTAATAATCCGCATTTTTTATATTACATAAATCTTTTAGTATTACCCTTGTCCTAATACTTTCGTTTTCCGCAGTTTTGGCTATTCCCAGCAAATCCCTTCTCCTTGGATGTTAACTTCAATGAAGCCGGAGACCAAATAGTCGCTTCTAGATTTCTAATCCAAGCTATCAACATCAGCGGCACTAACCACGAGAAAGAAATGGTCAAAGTATTGAGAGATGTAGTCGCCCAATCGCCATTGAATGCGTCTGTTTTTCATCCTTACTTTGTTTTCTTTGATCAGGTATGTTGGAAACAGATAGACATCTTTATTTCGTTTTGAAATCTTATAAAAAATGGTTTAACTAAAAACGGGATTTCCTTTTCAGTTCGAGCTGGTGAGACCAACGTCCATCCAAAACCTCTGCTACGGCGCACTGATGATGATGATCACATCATTCATATTCATTCCGAACATTTTGTGCTCACTTTGGGTCGCCTTTAGTATTATTTCAATTGAAATCGGAGTAGTCGGTTACATGGCTTTATGGGATATAAATTTGGACTCCATATCCATGATAAATCTCATCATGTGTATCGGTTTTTCAGTTGACTTCACCGCTCACATTTGTTACGCATATATGGCATCCAAAGCGAAGTCACCAGATGCTAGAGTTAGTGAATGCCTCTTTTCCTTAGGATTGCCGATTGTGCAAGGATCTTTTAGTACTATTCTTGGAGTGGTAGCCTTACTCTTGGCTGACAGTTATATATTCTCGGTTTTCTTCAAAATGGTTTTCATGGTGATATTCTTCGGAGCAATGCATGGTCTTTTCCTACTTCCCGTTCTACTATCATTGTTTGGACCGGGATCATGCACTAGGAAACAAGAGGATATAAACATGTCAAAAATTGAAAAATGTTATCCACACCCGTACTGTCTACCACACCCCCAGTTAGTTCTAAACGATCAGATATTCAATGGAAAAACCCTAAACCCGAATGGAGTCTATAAAATTTACGGAGACGACAAAGACCTAGGTATTGGAACATCAGGAGAAGACACAAGTGAGAGTAGCTCAAACCAATCACAGCGGCGTCAATTAGACAATGAAAATGGACGTGCAAAATACGAGGACGGTTGGAAGAGATCAAGTTATTGTCAAAGTTCGAGTCAGTTTCAGCCGTCTGGAGAATTAGATATGTATGGCCACGACCTGGATAGGACGTGGCAACGACAACGTTACGAAGATAATAGACGAGTATTTGACAATTATAGGAAAGTACCGCCGATGGCCAAGTCAAGAGATGATGAGTGGATTGCATCAACCCGTAAAACCAGCGACGATGGCCCTCGTCGTGAAGGTACATACAGAGTAACGCGGGCACATTCACACCACAATATCCATAGACCACGTGCTCCGCGACGTTCAAATTCACACCAGAATCTCGAACACTTAGATTATGTAGCAGAAATGCGGTTCCCTTGACAGTGGACAGAAGTTAATATATAAGTGTTTAAGTTTTGAATTTAGTTAAAAGTGCTCAAATCGTGGACCAAAGTATTTACCTGCTACTATCGTAATTTCAAAGTAATATTCTAAGAAAGTATTTAGAGGCGAAAATGGTTTTCTCTACACATGTAATTATAAAACGGTATTATTATATTTGATCAATTTTGCATTCGCAATGCTATACCGGAATATATTTTTAATGAAAAATGTTTAAAAAATAAATCTTAAATCTCGGAGTACAAGGGACAAGATGAACTTTTCAAGCATTTTTATTAAAAACCGTATCAATTTAAGATTTTCTTTAGCATGCGAGTGTTGTAATAGAAAAACACGACTACTTTATATTTTATTAATATGTAAATAAAAAATATTTTAAAAATAACTTTTAAAAATTGACGATTAAATATACTACCGATACAAATTTCAATCACACAACTGTGATTCACCCTTTTCCGAGTGTATAATTTATATTTGTAAATTTAATTTATCATTACAAATAAACATATATTCCGTATAGGTAAGTAACATTTAAATGGGAGTAAAACAAAATATTTTTAAAATAATTTATTAAAATATTACTAGTTCCTACAAGTAATAATACTTATCAACTAAAGTATCAATCAGTCGGTGTTTCATATAGTTGTAAAGACTGTATAATATTCTGTTCTGATTCAGACAACTTTGTTTTATATTTAGTTTCATGTATGAATTGTGTGATATATTTCTGGGGTAGATAAGATATTATTTTATAGATTGTGTATAAATAAGTGTGTAAATGCATAAGACAATTTAAGTCTGCATTGATTTTATAGAAGCTTTAATGTTACCTGTGTTTATATTCTGTAAATAAAATTAGTATTGTGTGACACCTATTTCTCACTGCCATGAATATCTCCCCATATTTAAAAGAATCTTCTGAATATGAAAATATTTTTAATGAATAACAACTACAAATAATAATTACTTCTTTTTTCAAAATTATCTGTACAGTAATTTTGATGGCTGATCGTTAGGAGATAGGTTTTATGAATGATGTATTATGTGGTCAAAACATCCACGGTATCATGACTGAATATTGTAAATATATTGTTTTATATTAATAAAAAATAGGTTTGCTAAGATCACTTTTGTTTAATTTTTTTACAAACAAAAAGGTTCGTTTTGAACACGAAATAAAACACGTGTGCCCTTAGCGCCGATAATCATAGCGTGAATTGAATACGTATCGAGGACAAATGTCAAATTTTTGTAATGGATGGTAATATTTGAATAAGGAAACTAAGGTCCCCTTAACGGTAATACGCAACTTATATGGCTCACCGATGTACCTGCGCAGAAGGCTAATTTTCAAACAACGTTAAATTTAGACTAATCTGAACACCAATTGCCTGATGGCGCGATACTCACACACAGAGAAGTCTGACGAAAATATCACATAAAAGTAACTGAATATTTTTTCTACTTAAAGTGTTACTAAATAAAGGAAAAACAAATTTTTTTCTTCAATTAAAATTGTCTCGCATCAATCAGTCACAATTCGAGTTGTGACGTCACATTTCAATAGATATGGTCGCACACGCAACATTTAGTTTATTGAAGTGTGACGTCACACGATGCTCTGGCATGGTCGCCCGTGTTTCGGGTACTATAGTAAAATATTTCAGAATTTATTGTTATAACTGTCAAGCATCTAATTATGTCTACTCTGCACATATGTAGATTCACCGTGCGCCATATTAGTTGGCATATTCTGTACGTAGGTAGATGATAGGCGCTGTGGCATATATTCGACGAATATCAAAATTAGACACATGCCCTCGATACGCATTCGATTCGCTCTAAATAATTTTTATGCTAATGGCACTGAACATACAATTAATTCATAGCTTTAAACGAATCAGGTAAACTTGTAACACTACAACTAAATAAAATATTAATATTAATAATTTTATCGCAGGAAGACGATATAGCTTCAAAAAGGTAGACAACTAAGTGTTTTGGTTGTAGTTGGCTATGCATATTAAATTAGGTAATACTTTTTTCACAATTCGAGCAAGCAATACATCTTCATATGATAAAATACTTACATAACATATGATACATAAGTTACAAGAATGTGGTCTTATACTAGGTGCTTATAAAGCATTGGTCTCAAACAAACTGGAACTTTAGGAAATAACCGTAGTTATTTCCGAAAACATAAAATTAGTCAAGCCACTGCACATTTAAGCCTTATAATTGGCCAAGTCGATATACACTATCTCAAAAAATTGACAGACATTGTCGACACTACAATAAAGTTAATTGAAAGTTAAAGTTTATCAACGATACAATAAATAAATAAAGTTAAAGCAATGATTAATTAACCTTACCAGCCGTATAATCTAAGGTTCGAGTAGGCTGTCCACGCCGTTAGTAAATGACGACGAACTTATACCGTCCACAAATAAATAATAGTAAATAACTGGTGGAACAATTAAAGAAGAATAGGGATTTGATATTTTAATGTAAAGATTATCATCAAACTTAACTATAAAACTTTATAACGTCGACCGATAAGGACCGCCTAATGAAAATTGACAATGATAAAAGAGAAAACGTCTGATTGAGATCACGCTCTGATTTATTTTGGTTGGATAATGGATTAAACCCGGTACTAAAATTAATCCTCTTTTTATAATGAGACGGAGTTTGCCTGGAATTGCGATGCGGGCATTGCATTTCCATTGCATTCGAAGCAAACGACTAGTATTGACAATTAACGACAATTAACTTTTCTCTATATAAGTCTGCTCTCTGACTGATTAATTCAAATATATAAAATATATATATATGTCTTTTAAGTATTTTTCTATAAATAATACCAATAATAATAACATTGTAAATGCCAAATTTATCAATTATAATAAACACATATTTATCATCAAACTGATTGACAAATGTAATTTTTTACAAAATCAAAGTAATTTCACAGAAATCATATTGTTGAGATCTATTTACAGTACCTTTTCCTACTCATTGGTGTACATTGACCTGGCCTAATTATAGACATATTTTCGATCATCTTTAACTTCATACTCTCTTTTAGGAACTTCGAATATTTAAATTATAGTAGCAATCCGCCATTTTCTCTCTTTTTAAAAAAGAAGTCGTTATCATTACTAAGAGAATTATCATTAGACGATCGTGGCGCTATAAGTATTAGCGCCAGCAATTTTAGTAGTAGCTAGAGGTAGAATTTTCAAAAGTTTCGATTGGAAAAAACAGACAATGGCGGAGTTTTTTGAACTCCAAACTTAAATATTTTAACCTCCTTGGCGAGAGAACATTACAACACGGCAATTTATTCAAAATGTAAATTTCGAAAACTACTAGAAACAAATTGTAGGTTAAAATCTATTTTAAAAATTTGTAAATTTTTTAGGAAAGTTTTGTACAGTGTGTACTAGTGTTGATTGTAAAACAAGTTGAGAAAGTTATTCAAAACCGTACAATTTTTAAAGCAGTAATTTTTATTAATATCAATTTTCTTTCCATTAGGTGCAAAATCAGAGCTTCAAAGCACTTCAACATTCGAAGTAAGAAAAAACAAAACACTACAATAAGTAGCACTCCTACAAGAAACTATTGGGCAAATTACACATAATAAAATTGACAACCAACAAATGTCATCTTAATTTGATGCAGACTTACCAAATAACTGAATATGCATAACTTGATATCGCCAATAGTATCACTGTTGCCATGCCATTACCAAGATTCTGTACTAAGCATGACAAATTTTGAAGGTATATCCATAGTGAAAGATTGTGGTATATCTACGATGGTCTAGCATGTACATTTGCTAATAATTGACTACAGAATAATATGAGATCTTTATTCTCGAACCTCTCACAAACATAATCTAGCAAAAATGATAATTCTCGATTACGGTCATCTGTTTCAGATACATTCTGTTTCTCTAATATCTTATTAATTAATATCTTAGAATTATCAGTAGTTACTTTATTCATAAATGCGTCGGTCAATGCGTCGAATGAAATAGCCTCGGCAATCTTTACTTTTGAAGATTCTTCTAAACTATCGGTGAGTTGTTGGATGAAGTCTGGTTTCTGTAATAACATTTACTTGAATGTAGTACATACGATTGACAATAGAACATTGAAAGTGGAATGTTACATTACAATAATTTTGGGCTTAATATTTTAATTTCGTAATTGTTTAATTGTTGAAATATTAATGCAATCAGAAAGTTTTTAGAATCCGCAATAAATTAAACCTATATATTCAAAATTCATAAAGTTTGTCATAAGCTCAAAATATATCATCAAGAAGAATATGGGATGCAATAATGAATAAAAAAGTATCAGATTTAACGACTTATTGTAAAATAATACATAACATTCTGCCTTAGTACAATTTAAAGAACATACCTCTGCTACACACGTAGTAATTATATCCTTAGTGGATTTACTCCCACTTTCAATTGTTTGAACATTTCTGTGACATGTATTGATTCCATCTGTTTGGACACTAACACCTTTCAATACATTTTCAACTGTTTGTGTATCTCTATTATTCATAACAACCTCAATAGTTTGCGTTTCAATGTCCATTTTAACATTATCTTTAGTCTCCAGGGTTTCATTTGCTTCGTCATTACAAACAGTGACTTCTTTCGGTCCTGTTTGTTCAAATACCTTTTTCAAAGCATAATCATTTAACACTTTTTTAGCAATTTTCACTTTAGGCGCTTTTATACATAACCTGTTCACTTCAAGTTCCGTCAACTTTGCAAGGTCACCTACTGTCGCAATTTGACCTTCTAATTCTTTCAAGAACATCGTCTTCATTGTTGAGGATGACAAATCACAAGCAATCACTTCTATAGGGTCTGTGCAATCAAGAAGCTCAGGGCATAAAGGATCCGTATCATTCAAATCACTATTCCTAATGATTTCGAGAGCCGGAGTTTCGTCTAGAGTCATTGATTGTGTATCATCCGCATTTCGATCTATTTCAGTGAAACTTTCTACTGCTTTCGTCAATACAGAATCTAGTTTGAACACATTGTCTAGCCTTTTAGGTGATTTCAAAGTCGTCTGCGATCGCAAATTTTGTCTCTCCTGGCGTTTTAGAGCAGAATTTTGTGGAGATCTAACTCCACATGGCTCAATATACTTGTGCACTGACACCATGGTTGAAACAGGAGGGTCATGGAAACTAACCCTTTTTCTCTGAAAATTGTAATCAAAAAACCATTTGTAATGATAGATTATGAATTATTGAGCAATGTTTTATACAAATAAAAATAAAATATTCTTACTTTGCTAGCAGGTGTAATGGTAGCTTCGTCTGTTATTTCTGCAAGTTTTCTTTTTAATATGGGACCTGAAGGACTACAATCAGATGTTGGCAAAGATCTTTTGAACTTTAGGAAATTTTCAGAATCTTCATTTTCTTCAGAATTTTCATTATTCTCACCCACTGAATTATATAAAATCCTAAGATTTCTCCTTGCAGGTGTATTGGAAGGGCTGCTTTTTTTAGGCTCTTCCGTTTCTGATCTTTCGGTATGAATTATAGTTTGCAGTCTATCTGGGACGCACAGACCCAACATTTGAGCTGCTCTCCCACCCGACCGTACTTGAGGTTTATTTTTTCTTAGAGATAAAGAAGAGCTAGGGCTGCTATTATTGTTTACATTGATTTCTTCTCTTGGCGGTGATAAGTCCCTTTTGTCAGGTGATACCTTATCGTCAGTAAATATTTCAGGAGAATTACATTTTTCAAATGGTTCACCATTACTCTGAACAGGAGATGATAATTGTATAACAACATAATCATTGCTTGTCTCTGGAGATGGAGATTTATTTTCTCTTACAGGACTCATTGTTTTAATTGGGGATATTTGTAATGTGTTGTCAAGAAAATCTCTCTTTCTTTGCTCGTCGTCTTTAAATGGTGATGAAACAGTATCGCTGTCATTGTCAGTCTCTGAAGATATGTTAATCGGTTCAGAACAACTCTTTATTTCATTGTCATTAATATTTACATTTTCTGCAACGTTGCTTTCGGATTCTACTCTCTGAATGATTGTCGGTTCATTATCACAGATTTTATCTTCAACAAAATCACTAGGATCTGTAGGTTGAGTGTCAGCTTCAGCAATCTCTTGAGTCTCACTAGGATCTGTAGGTTGCGTGTCAGCTTCAGCAATCTCTTGAGTCTCTCTAGAATCTGTAGGCTGAGTGTTAGCTTCAACAATCTCTTGAGTTTCTGCCCGAACACATTCATCTTCAGTATTTATCAGAATAGGTAATTCTTCATCATCATTTATTATAATGACATCACTAGGACAGCTGTCCTTTAACTCAATAGATTTGTCATCTATCGGCTCTGTATCCATATTATCTGTAGAATCTAAATTTTCATTAATAGTTTTATTTTGTGGGAAGACACTGTCGTCTTCTTTATCAAATCTATAACTTTTTTTGTGAATTGACGAATCGTCAGGCGATTCCACATTGTTTTGATTACTATGGCTCTCGGCAGCCTTAATACAATTTTTAGTTGATATCAGTGGACATTTTTCCACAATAACTGACACTCTTTTATTTACATTTCTTTTGGATGTTGTTATTGTAGTCAATGTAGAATCTTGTGAACTCTCTATCACATCCTCTGATAAAGTAAAATCTTCTGGTACTACAGAACTAGTTTGACTCAATCGGTGGCTGGAATCAATACTTTCCAATTCACAGCTTTTTTCAGATTCATCAGAAGTTCTATTTTTATCTTGCTTCTTAGAATTTGGAGTGCTATTTTTAGGCTGATTTTTGATATCAGATTTAGATTTGTTTAATTTTTCCGTTAATGTTTTACGTCTTGTGTTATTCAAAGGAGTTACAGCTTTTCTAGTGACACGTCGTTCAGAATTATTTTTTAACAATGGATGCCCTTCGACTGTGTCAATCGCTAATTCTTTTTCTATGCGTGACTTTTTAACATCTCTTTTTTTAACGGTAGACTTACAATTATTACTTTCATGTTTTTTGTTTGATTTAGGCGTGACAACATTTTCATTTATAGAACTTGTTTCATGTACAATATCCTTCTTCTGTTCATTTACAGATTTAATATCTGTACTTACATCACCTGCGTCAGTAGCAGGAACTAAATCATCATCTATTGATTTTGTTTCATTTAATTTAGTTTCGTTACCTTTACTTTCTTTTTCAATCTGGTTATTGCCGTCAATAGAATTGGTTACCTCGGGAGATGAAGCGTTTTTTATCTCTATGGGAGCATTTAAACTATTATTTTCTGATACGGTATTCCCAATATTATTATTTGAAGGCTCTGCAAGTGTTTTTTCATCAAATCTGTTGTCAACAATTTTACATTGACTGATATCATCATTTTGTAATAATGAATTTTCTTGTTGTTGCTGTTTAACTGATTCACCTAATATCTCAGGTTGAGTATCATTTTGGCTTAATGATCGGCAATTTCGTTTCAAAGCAAACAGTTCTGTGTCATCGAACTTTTTAGGTTTCCTCTTAAGCCGCGATGGTCTCTCAGAATTAAGTTTTGTAGGTGCCGAGTTAGTTAAGTTATTTGTGTTGTTTAATTTTGTAAGGGGTGTCTTTGGGATATTCTCAATTTGTATTAAACTTGCTGATAATTCTATATTGTCATTCTGACCTCCTGACTTCTCTATTAAATTCCTTACATTTCTAAATACTCTGTCCTTTAAAGCCATTCGAGGAGACTTTGTGTCTTTTGGAGTAGAATTTGATTTAGTAATATCAGAAGTTACAGTGGCTGATTTTACTGCTGTAGTGCACTCAACAGGTTCTTTCTTTGCAATTATTGAGAAATTGTTTTCTATTATTTTGGGAACAACATCAGAACTGGGTATATTTTTAAGAATGGTTGTGATATCTTCTAGATTTGATGATTTGCTATTTGTGGTTGACGAATCTTGGGAGTCTGGTTTCCACGAATTCAATTTAAATTCATCCTGAGATTGAGACAAATCTTGATAGAGTGCTGGGATGTCCTCTCTTTTACGTTGTAACTTTTCTTTTTGATTCTCTGTTAGTTTACGGGGATTGAATTTCCAATTTGATTTAACTACCACAAACTCTTCCCCGTTTTCGACAACTGTATTAACTATACTAGCTTCTTTTTTCTTGGCTTTTCTAGTCATAATTTTTACCTCTGGAGTGGTAAATTTGTTTTCATTAACTTTGATTTGTCTTTCAACAGTTTTATTCACAACATCTGTATTAGATTCCATATTGATTATAGCAGATTTGATCTCTTTATATGCAGATTTTTCTTTTTCTATACTCGATAAACATACTTTCATTATAGATAATAAACAATCCTTTATTGACTTCTGGTCATTTAATAATGTTGCAAGTTTGATTAATTCATCCGTAATCACAGAAGCGCAATAGATCTGCCTTTTTAAACATTGATGTAAAAATTGATTTATATGGATTAAAAGATTTTCAAGTGTTGACATATAGTTTTCCTGAAACAACAATAAAATTTATTACTTGCCAATTATTATTAACAGCTCATTTAAATTTGTAATAAAAATGTAGTTCAGTTTGGTTGCTTTTGTGTTTGACCATTTCACATATTGTCAGTAACTCTACATATACTTACTATAAAATAATCTGTCACATACATTTTCAAATTAAACTTTTATAGATACACCCAGTTGCACAAACGTCCATTATAATTATCATTAGTTTAAAGCGGCATTACCGATATAAATTTGACATTCATTAGAGCTTAAAGACGTCATTAAACCTAAATGGACGTTTGTGCAACTGTCCGTTAGTCTCGTCAATTTCTTTTTATGACAAGACATAGCCTGCAATCTAGATGTTACCTACAATTTTAACTACACTAACTAATTGTGAATGTAAACGTCTTACCATTTTATTATTCTGAAGGTGATTTATTATCAAGTTCATGATTTTTTTTATACAATTCATCATATTATTCACCGAATTTATCTTCTGTAGTGAAAGTGCATCATCTAACATACTAATAAGAGTATCTGTTAATATATTTCCCAATTTTTCGATTTCTTTGAAATCTTGTAATCCATTGGCATCCATAAAGCCTAACAATAATCCCAGTGGTGTCTCATAATCTTAAATGACACAATTTTAATGATTAAAATTTATTAAGATTATAATGCCTTAACTATTTTAAATAAAAAAGCAACATCATATTACTAAAGAAGTCATCATACATTTATCAAAGTAGCAAGCTACCCAAGTTGCCACATAAAATAATAAAATGTGTAATAAATTAATATATATCCGTTTTTAACTTAAAATAGAATATTAATAATGCATATTATAATTATTACTGATCCAGACAAAACTATTACATTCAGTATCAGAAAGATAAAATAAAACAGAATTAATAAAATCTAGGTGTTATTGTTAAGATTTCGTGAATTTAAGAGCGCTAAATGTAAGAATTTTGTTGAGATCTTTTCTGTCTCATTGTTTTTACAATGTTCAATAGATGGCTTCTACTGACATCAAGATTACAATGAGCGGGTCTTGGGCTGAGTCGAGCTTATCCACTTTTGATTAAATGAATTATGTATGCCTTTTCTAATCATTTGTTGCTTACATTATAAATAATTAAAACTTAATTAGAACTGTGATATACGCACTTTCCTGTCGCGCCAGCAAATAGTTTAAAATGCCAATTGTGGCATACACTTTTAACAGCAAATTTGTTTTTGTGGTTTGAGTAGATGTCAGAAAAGTTGATATAGGTGTATGGACTCTTTCATAAAGTTTTGGGTACAAATATTCAAATAATTTATACCATAATGATAAAAAGTATACATCCTGAAAAAAAAATTCTAAATGAATAAACAATTAGTTTTACAGAAATATACATACAAGGTGATATACGTAACTGATACACATACATCAACAAAATTGTTTGAAGAATTTAACGGCCAGAGCAATACTATGTCCAAATTGGTGATTTCGGTACTATTTACATTGAGCAATACTTCAGAGAGAGCTGTCCAAAATAATAATATACTATCTTGATGGAAATCTGACATGAAAACCCATAGCATCAACTCATCTGGAGAGCATAAATTATCATCCAAAACATAATTTATTATTGGTTTAAGTTTTGAAATAACTTCTTTAATAGGAATGCTGAAATTAAAGAAAAATTACATTACATGGCATACCAATATCTACTTAACTTAAACAATATTGCATTGCAAAGCTAGGAAAGCTAAAAAAATATTTTCTATAAAAACAATATTAAATTTGAATATTGACAATGTAAAATGGTGCATACCTTTTGAGATAAACATTTATAGTAGGTTTCATCAGAACCTGAATAATTTTATGGAGGGGACCTTCTTGTCCACATTTAGTCTTAAACAAAACTTTAAGTTTATCATCTTCAAACAATGAACAGATCAAGCTGATTATAATTTCCGATTCAGTTCTATTGTTGTTCGAGAGGCCATACTAAAACATAATATAAAACCTTAATTTTTGTCAGCATTAGGTAACTATAAAATTACTATATCTATTCTATAGTAGTTGATAGATTTATTGAAAGGTCTAACCACAACCAACATGCATTTTATTGTGTACATATACATACTTTATTTATGAAACATGAGCACAGATCTCTAACAGATGAGAACTAACTAGGTGTGCTAGTTACATGGCAATTTTACAATTATTGCAAAGGACATCATTATATTTTGGTGTACCTTGGTAATGTACTGAATAAGCGTTTCCGCCCACGATCATTGTTGTTAAGCAACATTTGCAAGGGTCAGTCACGGGATGGGTGACAACAAAAAATTATTATCTCTAGCTACTCCGTGCTTCGAAAGGCACGTTAAGTCGTTGGTTGTAACTACATTCGCTGTCGTTAATACCCTTCGATGTGGAGGATCATTGCCCATCCTTCTTAATCACCCATAAGGAAGGCCCGAGCCCATGCAGTGGGGATGTAAAAGGGCTGATGATGATAATGATTATATTTTAAAAATACAAAAGCAGTCTTACCTGTAACATGGTATCCAACATAAGTAACAACTCATCAAACAAATCCTTTCTGATATTATTATCTGGCAACTCGCTTATTATCAAGGCAAAAGATTTCCAAGCACACACAACCTGTTGCTGTGTCACACCAACATTTTGAATACTAATAGAAATGGCCACCTTTAGAGAAAATATCCAGTCATTCCAATAGTCCACAAGGAACTTTTTAGACACAATTCTCTTATTTAATTTTGGCAAATCAACACAACCACTACAACTTAAATGACCAGCAATTTCAATAAAGGCCTCTACTGCCCTTTTCTTTGTATTGCTGGAGATCAAACATGGCACTAAAGGCTGTTTATTTTGAAGGGCATGTTTTCCAAAACAAAAATGTAAAAACGATATCAGTATTGAATCTACAAACTTTTCCATTCTATTTTGAAAACTTCTTATTAAATGCCACCATGTATTCAATTTTGCTAATGTTGTTTCTTCCACTTTAGCATTATTAGATCTCAGTGGTACTATAAGTAGTTTCACTCTTTTAACAATGTTAGCTTCATTTGTCTCTGTATGAAAATTATCAATTAAAACATCCCAGCATTGAAAAGCTCTACATCTGTTAGCTACATCCATTTTGAAAGCTGTCTCTACAACTGGCAATAACAAGTTGATTGGACTCCCGCCTGGACTGCATATACGTGTAATTTGATGTTTCAATAGTCTAATAAAAACTATCCATAATCTATGCCAGCATTTACTTCCCTTTAACAACATGTTTCTCATGAGAAGAGGATATCTAAAATTAAAAAAAGCCCTCATTAAGTAAAAATTATTTTTATAAAGATGATAGCACATCTATTAGTGGTGAAACAAAAGAATTTTAAAATTCTTTGTATACAAACATATAACACTAGCACATGCACAGTTGAAAACATAAGTCATATGAATGTCATAAAACAATAAGGTCATTGCCCCTTGCAATATTTTATTTTATTTTATTTATTTTGGGAAGACCAACAGCTAAAACAAATACAAAGCGATTAAATAGACTATAGGAAGTCATTTACAGATCCACACAGATGGATAATATTATGACAGTCACCATTACTTCAAAATTCAGACATCACAGATAACAGACAATTCATCATAATTGAGCATTAAAACTCTGTTGGAAAAGTCAACTTAAGCAATAATAATTAGATTTCATAGAAACTGGCCAGTTTCTTGGTTAATCGTTTGCACCGATCTGTTAGAATTCTAATGTCACCTGTGATTCAAAGTATAAAGAAAATTTTAATTTGTCCACAGCCTTCCATTCCATACACAGTTAGAATAAAATAGTATAAATGAATCTTACTTCTGAGGATTGTATATTGATTGCAAAACATACTGCCAGTGTATATCTTCAGCATAATCAATATGAACTAATCCATCTGTTAGTGCCTCCAAAGTTTCTAATGGTTTTGTAGACAATGATTCTGTTTGCATAAATAACACAATAGTAGGGATAAGTCTGGTAAACCAAACTTTTAGATTTGCTTTCAAAAATATCAACTTTTTGTCATTTGGTAAAACTTGCAATAGCTTAAGTAATAATTCACAAGGCTGAAAAAAAATACCACTTTATTGAACATAATTGCTTGTGTGAATACTTTCAAATTAAATACAAAATTCAATTCTAATGATGTACAGTATGCTAAAAATTTATTTTGCCACTTTCATAAGGGCCATGCCTTGTTAAAAAAAAAAATTCTAGTCTGTCAGTCAGACAATAGAAAAATGATAGACACCATATTTTTTTTTACTTCAATTTAACAACAAAAAGCTTTGATAATATGCATTAAAGTTGAGGAGTTGAGCTCACAGTTTTGTAAAAAATGTACAAAAGCATAACATCATATAACATTTAACTCAATGCGAATATGAATGAAAAATACTCTAACTCATTCAACCCAGTCTTTTTATCTACAATGAGTATCAAACTATTAAATAAGCTCTTTGTTGTGTAGTGTATTTAAATCAAGGATGTCTCCTCTTTTTTTTAATTGGAATGTGTCTTTTGTCTCACATCACTTCACATAGTTTTATTAAGTGGAAATATAAGATATAATTAATATTAAGAAACAATTTCTTGCAATATAAACTCTAAGAAATATAACAAACATACTTACTAAACATCTGATGTGTATTTGTATACCTTCACGGCAATATGAATTTACAACTTCCATTACTTCTTTATCATGTAACATTGCTAAATCAATAAGGACATTGTCAGGATACAAAACAACTGTTTCAAAAGATAATTTTTGCAATGTTTCCATGTTACTCAATAAAGCTGTTGTCTTCATGACATTTAAAAGTTCTAATATAGAGGGTAAAAGATTTGTTAATGTTGAAAATTCTCCAGTCTGAAAAACATTTTTTAATTGATATATTTTAAACATGTACAATCATTATATACAAATTTTCAGATTCATTAAAAATAAAATAAAAAGATAATTTTGTAAGCATACTATTTCACATAAATTTCTACTACCAACTATTCTCACCAGCAATAATTTAGTATTCCATGGCTATTATGTATTTTAAATAGAAGAATAATAAGAGATAATAATATACTAAAATGTTAAACCTTTATTCTTTTCAATATGGAATTGATAATCTTCAGTATAGTATGACAATACTGTTTGTCCTCTTGCAGATCTTGGACACATACAGCTAATAGTCTATCAACAATCAAATCACTGATTTCAATTTTACTGTCCAAAACATTTTGAAAAGTTCTATAATTTTGATTTCTTGCAAGTGGTTTATCCAATGTGCGATCTTCTAATACGTCTAGGACAATATGGAGATCCATTGTACTAACTTCTTCCAGCATTTCTGAAATGAAGAATAGAATATGGCACTATTTTGATAAGAAATAAAACTTCTGCCAGTTGACACACAGCATCTACTTATAATTATTAAAAGATATGTCATTCATTCAAAGGACAATCAGATTTCAATCCCAAATAAATATAAAAATAATTACGAGTGCCTAGACAAAAACAAATAATTAGTCGCAATTCTGTAATTAGATTTGACGAACACTGACGAGTAGTGATTTTACTAATACTGCTAAGAAATACCGTGACCAAAAAGTACACTGAAGCACTAGTAAGCCAAATGAGGTTGTTTTTTATAACGGAATCAGCAGACCAAACGTAGTTTCAAAATATCAAAACTGTCCATAATAATTTATATAGATACAAAATAGTTTCTTGGATTATATAGGAATCTATTAATACAGAAAATAAGAACCACGCCGAAACATCGAGTGGGCAAAGATAAAACGAAATTATGATATTTAAAGCAACGAATCGTAGTTGATGAACCTACTTATAACTATATACCTACTAATAAATCCTTATTTCACCGTATTTTTGGTAAAAACCACACAATGTAATCAAATTACGGAACAACAACGACAATAAATTCGGTCATTTTGACATTTTCTGCATTTCTGGCGCGAATTAGGGATGTTGTAATGTCAACCTAAATGATTATTGATAAAAATCGATCCTAATAATAAAACCGATTATTTGAATAATACATTTATTTACAGCCTTACTTATAAAAATCAACCAATCAACGTCTTAGCATCTAATTAACTAATCATTGCTTAACTTCATATGTAGTCATTAAATATTTCTTACTTATAAACGATACGAGATATTAAGCTATTGTTAACTTACCATCAGTAAATGACCACAGAACACTTTTGCTCCAAGATGACACTATATTTTTTTATTCTGCGAACACCGCAGAATCAGTAGGTACTTATAATAGGACTTATTACTCCAAAAAAATGCAATTACATAATTGAACCTTATCTTCATCAATTAAAGTATTCTTTAAATTGCTCTACAGTACAGAAGCTAAACTAAGCCGAGAGAGATAGTCGGAACGGTGGCTGTGTGTCTCGTTATTTTATCTTGCCATTATAAAAAATATTGTTCATTAAAAATTTAAACTAAAATAACCTATAATAACCTCTTAAATTATTATATTCACATTTTTCTAATATTATTTTTTTACAAAAAGATACTACTAATTATTATCAAGGCAATTTGTTCACTTATCTTCCACTTTGAAGTGTCATGGCGGTGACTAGTGATTGGTATTTTTATTTCAGTAGTTTTTTAAACATTGCAACAGTTAAAATGGTGAAAGTGTTGCATTTATAATTATCCAAGCGAGTCTTGTAGTGGTTGCAATACGTTTTTTCACGATTAAGATATAGACAACAACATTGTAAATCTACGAACTATAGTTACCATGAAGTTTTATGATATGTGGTTGATGGTGTATGTGGTCATAGCAAAGTATGAATAGAAATTTCCAAAAAAGGAAGAAATGCCACAACAAAATGTCTCTACAATCGTAACTGTAAAAGGGTTTAAAAATATTTCAACAAACGAAATAAAATTTAATTCGTTATGTAATTTTGACAGTAAAATTGGACTTAAAAAATTTGAATTGTACTGTCTAGTTATAAGTGCTAAGTCCATGGCAAACACTGGATTAAAATCTCACCAAAAGCTAAACGGCTGCGTCATAAAATTTGGAATTTAAAAAAAGAAACGCCAGTGTTGTCAAGTCTATGCAGGAACGGTACATAGGTAATCTTTGAATTCGCCATCTTTCATTCATTTCATTTTCATTTACATGTAGAAATTTATTTATTCACTTGACATTGGCAGAATTGTGCGAAATGCGCAAATAAGCCATTAATTAAAAAAGAAGAAGAAGAAGTAGGTAATCTTTTTCGGAGGGTAATAAAGATAATGACTAATTTTTGTTTGTTTGTCCGTCAGGTAGGTTTTTGATGAATATTAAACATATATTTTTTTTAAATAACGGTGATATATTGAGTTGAAATGATGCATGATGTCACACCTTTGTACATAGTTGTAACGCAGGAATTTTTCGCCTAAGCGATTTCACCCAAGTCCTAATGCGATCCAAATCGTTATTAATAGCTACCAATGCCAAGTTACAGTCCTCTATTTTAAAGTGTCGATAAAGCTGCAAGTCGTCGGCATAGAGGTGGAAGTTGTAAGATATAACTCCAGTAACCGAGTTAATGAAAATGGAAAATAAGAGAGGTGAGAGAACACCACCCTGAAGAATATCCGCACTAAGGTCACACCAATCAGAAGATTTATTATCAAGACGTTCACATTGCGTGCATCCCCGAAATCAGGAATCACACCATGAGAGAACAGAAGGAGAAATTTTCGTGTTTGTTCGTGGGTTCTTGTGGGGGTGGTAGCCAGACAATCAAAGAATGCGTTATATAACACTGACACTTTTTTGATATTGGTTTTACAAATAATAACGTACATCCAGCTATTAGGTATCACGCACGACAAGAGAAGGAATCGGCGCGAAATACACGCCATCTATGTTGCCAACGCCCAAAGTGTTGCCACTTTATAAACCACAATACACCACAGAGATATTGCAAGAACGAAGAATAGCGAGAAGAATATCAAAATCGACAGAATTAAAAGCACTGCTGAAGTCCAAAAGAATTAGAACTGTAAAAGCTTTATTCTCCATAGCCCAACGAATATCATCAGTAATGTTTATGAAAGCTGTTACAATACTGTGACCAGGGCGGAACTAGATTGGTACCTATTCAAAAGGGAATTAGAAAAAAGAAAAGTTAATAATTGCTTATGAACAATATGCTCAAGAAGTTCAGAGAGAAGGAGAAGAATAAAAATAGGTCGAAAGTGAGATAGGACTGAAGGATTAGATACATTAGGCAGTGGAATAATGTGCGCCTTCTTCCAAAGGAGAATGGGCTATTTTTGCGTAATCGTGCACATTGTAGAAACAGTAATCGCCGATTTGTACTAAAATTCAAAATTGTATATTTTTTAATATTAAAAAAAATATTTCTTCGAAATGGTTACCATTATTATGAATGCATTGCTGCCATCTCATAGGAAGGTCATTTATGCCTTTGCGATAGAACTCTGAGGATCTATAATAGACTGCACAAACTGTGTGAAAGCATTTTATACTGCCTCCTGGGAAGAAAACTTCTTGTCACGTAGCTAATTGTCCAAATCACGAAAAAATTGTAGTCCGTTGGAGCAAGGTCTGGCGAATACAGAGGATGACGAATGGTTTCTAACTGCAGTTCCTGAAGGATTAAAACGGTTTCTTGTGCTATATGAAGTCTCGCGTTGTCATGGAGCAATAATGGTGAATATCCATTCATGAGTCGGGGCTGTTTAATTTCACTTTGGAATTATTTTCGTTTAAAGGAAAATTATACTCTATTGGACCACTAAAACATAATACCGTATCTAGTCACATTATGTAGCTTACCGGTGCACTCTTTGTGATTTTTTTAAAGAACTGTAATATTATTCTGAGTGCACACTGCCTACTCATTTTTTATGAGATCAAGGGAATTTTTCACGACTGCCGATAAAAAGGAGTGAACTGTGTTTAGAGTTAATGTAGGTACCTATTTAAGGCAACCCGTTGTACTTAGGCCAGTTTTTTAATTATTTTTTTTATAAATATACATAGTTAAAGTCTTCCGGTGTTTAACTGCATAAATCATTCATAAAATTGCGTATATTTTAAAAAATCTGAGACTACTAGTTACTAGAATAAAAAAAGTGAAATCTGTTTAAAGTACAACAAACCAGATGAACCATGGATAGTGTACGTTGTACCTTGGACAGAGCAGATTAAAATTGAGATAAACACTTTTATAAGCTATGTCAAAAAGGCATTCTCTACCAGTCAAACCGGTGAAGATGTATAGAGCATTCAAAAGGCAGTATCATAAAAGAACAAATAAAGCTAAAATTCCTAAAGAATAATACCAAAAGATGATGTATTAATATATATAATATATATATATATATATATATATATATATATATATATATGTCGCATCATCATTACGAAGATCGTTTGATTTAGTTTCTTTTATTTTAATTGCTAGTTACTCGATTACTTAATTACTCGATTGTAAAGAGAGCGTGATCATCGATACTTTTAATTTTATTAGAATGGTGACACTGACTTTGACAGTTCATTTATAAAAACCAAGTTGCCGCCATTTTGGCACACATTCCTCCAAGGAGAAGAATACTAACTTCATAGAAAATATAAGGCGACAAAACACGACTGCAACGCCATCTGTAGTAATCCCCAATAAGCTTTATGGCGGGTTAATTCAAAATCCATATTAGAGAAATATTAATCAGAAGCGAAAATTGAAAATTCAAATGCAATAGCCGCAAATGCTATTGCATTTGAATTTTCAATTTTCTTTGCATAGGGAGGAATAAAATTTAACGGAAAATAGGACCTAGAAGAATAGATTGGTCAAATAATAAAAATAATCGCCTATTATTTTATAGGAGGCTATAAAAAGACAGCATGTTATTTATGTTTTATTATGTTCATTTTCTTATTTAACAGAGTCGAGGAATAAGCATCATGAAATTCTCTATTTTTTAAATTGCAATATCTCTTTACACAAATATGAAATACATTATTTAAAATAAAATCAACATTTTCATTGCGATGACAAGTGATGAATGAAAAATTTATATTTTCATAACAATATTCCAAAATACTCTTTTTTATATTAATAATGTGGCCTCTTGCGCGCAAAAAATTATTAATCATTGTAGCACAACATTCCACACATTTTATGAGTTCCTTTGAAGTATATATAAGCGATTTTTTTAAATCGCTATATTCTTTAAACTCCATAAAGTTATATATGATTTCCCCATAATCTTTATCTGAATTTAACATGAAGAGTTCGCAATTTTTACATTCCCCTCTTTTGCGCTTCAAGAGGAACCCACAAACATATGCACAAGCTTGTAGTTCAGCAGAATCTACTAAAGAAATATTTTCATCTGTTACAAGTGGTGTGCAATATGTTTCTCTCTGGAATTCTGAGGTAGCATCTTCAGCTGGGTATTGTGTGTACACAAGAAGTTTTTTAAAATTATCTAAAATTAGTACATTTTTATCCTGCTCACAATTGCCATGTACCAAGTGAGCAAGGTTGGACATGATCGCTGTTTTTAAAGCTGCAATGAATTGTCCAACAGTCGGATTACTATTTGCTCCACAATTGCCCCTAATGCATCCAAATAAATTTTCGAGGGGATCTTGTTGAAGTCTACGTGTCGCTAACGATTTAATGACGCTGTGTTTTAATGTCAAATTTCTCCATAATCGCTCTATAGCATTCAACGACCATATCCAACCCTGCTGTGATGGTGGTGTTCGTGGGCAACCCACATATTCTAAATTTGCAAATAACTTCCTCATGGTGAAAAAGAAATTGAGATGGGGTGATTTTTCACTTAAATTTGTAGCATATGGCTTTCCTCGTCGTAAATCAGGGCTCTCGCTATTTAGACAGTCAAATAGTTTGTCCATGTTTGCAATTAGATCTGCTGTGACGGATGCATCTGATGGCAAATGTCCTGAAAAATATCAATACATTATTTTTTATAACATCAAAAGCCATTACCTATGCCATTTCTATAACTTTTTTGCTTCAATTCAACAATATTATGCATGTAATTATACCAAATAAATTGATTCTCACTGCATTACATATTGTACTTAATTTGTAGTATTATTTATAGAGTAACAAATTAAAAAAGTGCAAAGAAGAATAAAAATAAAAGAATTTGTGGTAAATTATATCAACAGCACATTAGGTTACACAATAAATAAATAATAAATAGTGGAAATTTGACATATTGGTGATATTTGTTACCTTCAGATATTTTGGCAAACATGCCTGCTGCAACAGAGTGGCTTAAAACTTGTGCAGCTAATTTGACTCTCATTTTTTCTTTCATATTGGGATTTAAATGCTGTTTCCGCAAGGTAGGTGCAAAAACAAAATTTACATTTTCATTATCAATATCAAAGAAGTCTTTTATGTGGCACCATTTTGCCAAACCTGTAACATTGAAAACTATTTAAAGGACATACCTTTTCTATTGTGATTAAAAATTAATTGTTTACTTGGAAATATTTGTAAAATGAATTTGGAAATTTTAATGGTTTTTCATAATGAAAAAATAATAATTTTAATAAGTACCTTGACCTGTCTGGTTGTTGGATTTTATATCTGTGCTACACTTTATATCATATTTCATAAAAAGGTTCCTGAAACATTTGAGCAAGTGTGGCGGATCAAATAGTGTAACCACCTCATTATTTAGTATGCTAAAATATGGGTTTTCTTTGGTTGCACCCAAGACACTTAGAGCTCTCCTATTAACTCCATCCATGTCACATACCGTTGCTGATATACAAAGGCCAATATTGAAACATGCTTGTAAAACCTGCAATATTAATTAGAATGACTTAACTAATCCAATAAAAATATAATTGCATGTAATCTATTGAATATTATACTCAGAAAAAATATGCTGTAACAATAAATGATATCACTTAGGATACTGTATCAGTTATTCCAATACAAATAAATAATATTACCTCTTTGATAAGAACTGCTAGTCTGTCTGCAGTAACATATGAACTTGATAAATAAAAAGCAATTGGTTGTTTTACTTTTTTTCTGATTATACATTTATTGAAGACCATACATTATTGAAGAACTATTGCTTACCTCAAATTCCTTTTTATTAGTATTTGGATCATCCATTAAAGTATCAGACGATGAATACTGGGGAGGCAAACTCATAGCCTGTGGTGTGGTAACAGTCGGTAAAGTCTGCTGTTGTAAAAAATAGTTATAAATAAACAGTGAGAACAGTGACAAAAAATTTAGAATTGGCATATATCATTGACAATATAATATGCATTTTTTTGTAATTTTACAGATAATAAATATAGATTTGCTTATACTTTTGGGTGCCTTTACAAAATTATGCAGTACCAAAAAACAAATAGTAATGTAATTACCTTAGAGATTTCAACTTCAGGAATGGCATTTCTATTAAGTTTTTTTTTATCATAATCAATAAATGCAGAATCCCTAAAATGTTTATTGCACAACATTCTGTGTTCAGCATATATTTTTTTTTGGAAATCCTTAGAATGCCACTCATCACTAGGAAAGCAAAATTTGGCCCATGTTTCACACCTGAAAATAAATAGATGAACTTGTTTTTACTTCAATATATATTAAATGCAACAGTTTCAATATGCAACTTGTGAACAAACTCTTCATTAGAAAGTATTTTCTATTATTCAAGCTTAAAACATATTTTCTGTTGCAGGACTTCAAAAATTATTTTTTTTTGCTAACTCACCGCAATATGTTTGTTGGTCCAGGATTAGGAAACCTATATAGTTTTATGTCTGGATTCTCCTTCGGTGATTGTCCACATTTCAGACACTTTCGTCTTATATTATCTGCCATAATAATACTTCACTATTATTACGAAAAAACAACACAAAAGAGTCAACTGTCTCACAAAATTGAATGTCTTTTAAACAGCAAACACAGCTCTAATACTAGTGGAGGAGCAAGGGCTCAACTCAACACAAATATTGGGTAAAACAGCAAAAACGCTGAATAGATAAATATCCGAAACGTACTTTATTTACGAACGGGGAACAACGAAAACAAAAACAAACGACATTTTTTCAACTTCAGATTTTTGACAAAACCAACGTGTTGCCATTGTGTAAGCTAAAATCATACTACTATACAATTTAGTATCATGACAATTATAAAGATAATTTAATGTTACATAATAAAAAATATCTTAACTGATTAAAGTTATATTTTGTGATAAAATTCATGGTACATTATTGTTAATTTTGCTCTAAATGGAAAAAAATTGTCACTTCTACAGATACAATTAAACTTCTAATATAGGTGTAATTTGGATCTAGCAACACATCCCAATCCCCAATAGGTATGTCACCTAATGCTCATACAAAGTTGACCCCCCCTGGCTCTAACACCCTAACAGCGATCACATTACCCGATAAATCGACCCTAAGTCTCATCGGGCGATCGGGCGCCCACGTTCACCCGATATCGGGACCCTAACTCTCTAACTGCGATTAGACTACCCAATTTACAGTGTACCCGATGGATGTGTAATAGGCGCCTAAGATTATATTCTAAATAAAACAGTTTTGACAAACATGCAACACTTATAATAAATGGATATTAAGTATCCGAAAACTTATTCTTTCCGTGTAAAAATCATAAATTACCTTTTTAACTGTGCTCGCATAGCGCCGACTTCGCGTAAGTAACTTCACTTTGATGTTGACAAATGACGTATCTAGTACCATAGACTAATGTTATTAAAATCGCAAGATTTTTATCTACAATTAATACGAGTATGATTATTTTCGGTACAATACCACTCTAAGGTACAACATGTATGTGTGTTTCTTCATTTCATCGTAACTTTTGAGAGACTTAGGTAAAAGATTTATCGAATTCAAAATCGAAAAGGAGGATTTTATAATAAGTTCGACAACTTATTTTTTTATGTTGACCGATTCTTCCGCGGTACTTTTTTCGATGCGTAGGTAGGTAGGTATATGTTTTCCGTATTATTACTGTACTCTTTGTTACTGTACTCTTTGGTATATGTATATTTTTTATGTAAGTACATTTCTTCTTGGTATTGTGAACCAATTTCTATTTCTATGGGCTTATATATTTTAAGCATTTTTCATTAAGAATATATTAAATAGAATATAATAGAGGTATAAAAAATATAAATATCACCAAATAATATAAAATATTTTTCTTTTTCAAAAATAGGACCTGCTTTGAACTTGAAAAAAGTGAGAAATAATACCTACTTATTGTAAGAACTTAATTATTCAAGAAACTGCCATTAAATTCGGTCGGATATCTACTGGGGCACAGCAGTTCAGTAGGATTGACGATAGTTTGAAGTCAAATAAATTAAATAGATCGTTGGGATGTATTTGTTATCTTCAAGGGATTTTTTATATTATTCATTTCTATGCCATATATAATGCTGAACACTCATTTATTTCCCTGTGAGCTGCGGGTATCGGCTAATGATCTAAACATATAATTTATGGGGTCAAGTGGGACAATGTAATAAAGATATTTATCATTTATAAAAATACCATTTGGTAATATCAACTTTTTCACTCAGTCAGCAGTCTTTTATATTAGGCGAGATGCAAAAATTTAAGATTTCAGAAAATCAAAAGTACTGGACTTTTGATTTTCTGAAATCTTAAATTTCTCTATGGTGGCGGTGGCATACTGACATCTTAACATACATTTATCAATAATCAAAATTAATATCAAACGATGTAACGAAAAGAAACAAAAGTATTGTACTATAAAATGTTTTACCGCGACGACGGTGGTCATAGGGAGGAAAAACGACAATCATGTAGTTACATTGGTTTTTAATACGGAGTTTGAAAACGAAATATACAGAGATGAAGTGAGTGGGACTAATGATGAATCCCTCACTCGTGTGGTACCTCGTTTGAGATCCTCGTTTCGACAAAATGAGTTTTTCAACTTCGTGTGTATCTACTTGGTAATATTTGGTAAAGCGGAGTTAACACTTTTAAAGATTAGAAATTAAATTTTATGGCATTTCTTTCAAATATCCATTAAAAAAAGAAACAAGATGTCATTGGAACGTAGCATCTACTCAATGAATATCTTACGTTGTAAGTAAGAGTTGAGTGAAAAAAAATCGGCTTTCAATGGTTGCGTGCGAATTGCACGCCAATGGTACATAGGTACATTTCTCTGCTTAGATATCATCCAATGCATCTTTTCGAATTGTTGCGCGCACGCTGCTGGATTTTATTCTAAACAGTGTGTTGAGGCGAGCGGTCGCGTCGTTTCGTACAATAATATCGCCATACGCGAGACGCGAACGTTTCGATTGCATAGCGTTTGTCTTATGTCCACACGCATCGTGCCAAGCATAACAATCGACGAAGCGAACATAAAATACGACTCCTTATGTGGATGATACGTGCAAACTTGTGGTAATGGTTGCTTCAAACCGCTTAAACACATCAGTGACCAATACATCTTTGTGTAGTGTGGACTATTCCAGTGTTTTCTGTTGAAAAGTGATGCCGGGTCACGCAGGTAGCCCATATTGGGCCTCTGTTGATTTCGACAGTGAAGGCGAAGAAGCTCAGACCCCACCTGCTCATCATAGGGTGTATTTAGACCCGTGGGATTCTGAAGCGTACGGTATAATGCAGGGGGAATCTGCTGAATCCAGTCAAGGGGACAACTTCAACTCTTTTGCCGGTGAATCAGTCAGTGCGAGCTTTTATTACGTCCCCACTAAGAATTATGACGAATCTGATGAACCACCGATAACATCCCGAAGAAAATCACCTCCAGAAAACGCGATATCGCCTGATTATTCCATATACGGAAGGAAATTAACTAGGTCGATGATCACCGACTTTCAGCCTGAAGCGTCGTTTTACGGTGAAAGAGTTATCCGTGAGTTGTTAGTCACAGTAATTAACTGCTTACTAAGATCAAACGAGAAAAAAACAAGATTGCATCGACTATGAATAAACGTATTAAAATGTGAAGTTAATTAAGGTGTTCATTAGACGGAATGATGTGGGATAAAACTTTTTCATATTCTATCTTGAGCTTAATTTAAAATTCTTTTATTATATTTGGTTATTTAATTTATTTCAAGCAAATTCTCGATTTTAAAGTTCAATTCAAGTGAACGATTACCTACTACACTACATCTTATAATATGTATTATATTGACTATTCTTGTAGTTTATTAGCTTAACTTATAGAAACATCAAGAATTGTAAGACACGCGAACTATTCTCACGGCAAACTGACACCATTCGCCTTAAGTACATAAAGTAAGTCAACCCTTACGTTTTCCAGGGGAAAGAAGAAGGTCAATGTACATTGAAGAACCGATATACACACCACACCCGGTCCTCTATGAGCCAGTGTACGGACATATACCACCACCCCCTGGATATCTGCCCCCGGCACCCAGATCTCGCATGTCTCTTCCTCATCACCCTGAATATGTTATGGCTAACCTCGGCTACAGCCAGCATAGGAGACATTCCAGGTATTTTGATTTTATTTCATTTACAAACAAAATCACTTCATAACAATAACTTTGTGTAACAATAAAATTAGAATTATTTTACGTGCAATATTAGCTCTATAATTAATTATGTGACTGATTTAATGTTTTAAAAACACAAACAAAATTGAGAATCGTTCTTTTTAATGATATTTTCATTAGAACAATTCGCATTTATAATATTACTTAGTAGGATTGAAATCAAAACGATTGCAGAATTAGGATTTTCAAGTAATCTAGTGAAGAATCTAGTGTTGAGAATCTAGTGTACTGTACCTACAAATTAAGTTGCAAAAACTAGGACGTTTACCCAACAGTGGGTTGTACAGCATGGACAGCTTTACATTGTTGAAACCGACCAATAAAGGAAACTAGTAAAATGAGGCAATTGTCCAGTAATACACCATTACGATATCAACGATCAAATATCAAATATTAAAATAAATAAAAATATTACATTGATAGATGATTTATTTGAATAGGTTTTACTCATTCAAATACATCGTGACCGTTTTTGTTGAGGCTCATAACAGGACATCGTTTTTTCACTCATTAACATATAACTTATCAAAACTATTAAACGAGCGAAATCTATTTGTTGCGCGAGTATCAATTGATCCCAAAGTTATAGAAGAAACCTGTCCTAATGCAGTTTTGTTGCCTACTCTCTTCCTCGCTTTGCTAGGCAACTGAAGTGTGCAGAAAAAAAAATTACTTGCATTATCGGAATACAGGACATTTTTGTGTCATCATCAGATATCATCGGTGACACCGGGACTAACAACTGGGAAACCGGACGTCTGGTCGCGTTATTCAAATAAGAAAAAGATGTTTTTACTTTTGAAGATATAAATTAACTTTGTAGCTTTTTCCGCCAGCGGTTTCGTTTCTAAGGACCCGTTCAGTAGGATAAAAAGTTAACCGTATACCCAATTACATCAAAATTACATTCAGTAGTTATTGCACGAAAGAGGATCTATCCTCATTTAAAATAAGTATTTGTAGGATTTGATATGATTCGATATAACATGTCAAACTGTTTTGGCGGTCGTTTTTACAAATACATTAGTGTCAACGACCTTGACAATTTGATCCAAGAAAATATGAAGCGTATAAAAAAGGTAACATATATTTCATACACTGTGTCCAAGCAGTCGTAACGAGGTGTGCAGCGCATAAATGCCATCGTTCCGCACCATGCTCACCGTTATCCTTGCTAAAAATACACATTTTAGAATAATATAATACTATTATTAATAATTCTAATTAGGCACATGAGTAATTCTTTAAATAATTATAATAATGAAGGCAAATAACACAAGTAAAACTTCACAAAATACCTGGTAATCAAAGATTTTAAACTAATAAACTCACCTTATTAGACGATTATTTATGAATGACTGAAAAAGTTCTAATCGTAAAATTATTTCTAGTATGAACTGCTTACTAAAAGTAATGGTTAATAAAAACGAACTAATAAACAGCATGTAGTAGCTTTATAAAGGTTGTTTCTTATTTGTCGGATGACAAAATTGAAAGTACTAAGAAAGGATGCATTTTAGAGTCAAATTTATAAAAAATGCCTGACAAATACTTTATTTATGTTATGAAACATAAAGATCTTTATAATAAAATTAATGTCAGTTTGTCACAACAAAAAGAATGCCAGTTTTGCAGCAAGAATGAACCAATGAAAACCAATTAATGAAGGAAATTGCAGTTAAACTGAAAAAAAAGTAAATGAAACCACTTTAAAACGGTTTCATCTCGTTTGTATTTAGTTAATAATCAACACCTTAATCTTATGTGAACACGGACCCCGTAAAGGGTCCGAAACGTCTAAAACTAAATACAAACACGATGAAACCTTTTAAAAGTAGTTTCATTTATGGGTAGTGCTCGTGAAAATATACGAAATCAATATAAAATAAAAGTGTTGTTGCATAGCAAATAGGTAGAACTCATTGTGAGTACATTAATAATTCGAGCCCATTCCCATCAGAATGCTCATTCGTCAACTTCGCGGAAAGCATTAATGATAAAAACACACGAACACTTACAAACTGAGAAGAAGTATTATTCTTATAACAATAAAGACGCGTAGCCGTGTGAACGTGCACTAGTTTTTGCGCGTACAAATGAAAGTTGCACCTGTGAGAATCTAGCACCTGTTAAGAGAAACTTGGATAACATTGACCTTTAGGGTCATCATTGATAGCAAAAAGTTAAGGGACATAACATAATAATCGAATCTTTAGTCTTTGCTGCAACTAGTAATATAGATAATAAAATTATCTGTCATTAAATATATAAAATTTGAATCGAAATAAATGTCTACGCTCTGCGAGTGTGAATTTTTATTCATCTCCCACACTATCCATTTCATTTTTTTTGCCTGGAAGAGATAGCTGCAACTCTAGTGTCGCCATTTGCGTTCTGTTTCTTCTTATTGTAATTTTCCTGTAATCTGTTTTATATTGAGTGCAATATTATTATTATTAAATCCTGTGATTTTGTCCCGAATTACGCACCTAGATTGAGTCCGTACTCTGGTGATTAAGATTACTTGGTGTTCTAAGTAATCCTAGTTTTCTATAATCTGCGTGTCTACATGTAGTCATCTATACCATAACATAAAAAGAAAAAAAAAATTGTATGCATCGAATAAGCTCAGAAACCACTGGACCGATATAAAAAATTATTTCGCCTACGGGTAGCTGCATCATATGCTGTGAACATAGGCTACATTTTATCCCGAAAACCAGTCAAAAAGGGATGAAAATGGGAGTATAAGTTTGTATGGGGAATTAAAACGTTGCCATAGTAGCCATTGTTCACTATTCAATTTGTCATTGTAGTTATATCCATGATATGAATCGATATTCCAATAAATAGAAAAATGGCGGAAAGCTAGTAAGCTACAATTTACATGGACAAAGTAAGCCAAAATATTTGCTGATATTTTCTAGTTATTGCTGCTTGGTCACAATAAGGTAATCAATAAACACAAATCGAATGACAAAGAAGTGTTTGCGCATTTCTAAAGCTAGACTTTTCAATTGTTTTTACTAATATGTTAGGAGCGTTAGAATGTATTTAGAAGCGGTATTTACATAGCCTTTCGTGGTCAGATAAGCGCGCTATTTACCCAATTCCTTTGTGAATACTTACGTGTGTACAATTATTTCGGTAGCAAACCACTTTCTAAGCATGAATTACGTGAACCGCGACTTTGTGGAATCACAGAAAGCAGTCGATGCCTCATACAAGACCATCATGATATTAGCGAATTAGTGCGAAGCGCATAGGAAATCACCCTATTATTCAATGCGTAGTAATTCGATTCTTTGACGCGGTGATGTAATAACATTAACGAGACTGTCCTCGTTCAGATTAACGTATTATGCACGGTGATATAGATAAATTGCGAAATATTAGTCGGAAGTTGGTGTCACTTCAACGTACAGATGAAGACGTGCAAGTCATTCGATATTATCGGATTCGTGTACAGCTATTGCGACAAGAATATTTTTTTAAACATGTTTTTTTCAGTAGACATGGTTTATTTGTTTAAATATAAATTATTTTATTTTCCTAACACTAATTACTTACAATATTATATCAAATCCATATAATTTTTATTTTTGGTTATTTTTATACCGTTAACGATAAAAAAATATATATATATTTTGGAGAATATGAATAAAACCTAAAGTAAACACCATTATTATGTAACCGCACTTATTATATCACTAAAACAATGAGTAAGTAGTAAAATCTTATCTAATTGCATATATCGGGCAACCATCCATATGAATTTCATATTAAAAGACGTTATTATTAGGTACAGTCTATCAGATCAGACTATACAAATTGTCCACTTGTCCAATTCATTTGATACCTTAATTAATTGTAGATTGAGTTTATAATCAATTGAGGTTTGATATATTGTGGTAGTCTGAAATGCATAAGTGAGTACATTTATTGCTAAGTAAATTGGCGTAACTTTGCCTTGATATAGTCCTAATGGCTGAGAATTTGGAAGAACTTTACCTCTTGCTCGAAGATTTCAGTGGTGTGGTATGTATATATATAAATGAACGTAGGAAAGACAATAATAATGTCAAACCTCATGTTGTACCCACTCCAGTGAAAATTGGGAATACTACACTCGAAGTTGTCGATTACAATTTTAAGAGACAGACAATCCAGCTAAGAAGTTCTAGAAACCTAACCTCGAGAATGGGATTTCATAGTGCATAGTAATAGACTGTCAATTATTTGAATAACTGAATCAAACCAATTTCGTTATCAAATGTGTAACAATGTAATAATACAAATGGAATACCGGGATTTTTTATCTCTTACTACTCAAGTAACGTCACTACACTTAACTTACGTATTGTGATATACATGTTTATCGACAACACATACTTCAGCCAGTTTATTTCTAATCAAACCTTTTCGCTCCCAAGGTTGACAGACGCGTACGAACACTTCGCGTACGAGAGCCTGTCTCCAGACTACGAGGACTGGGCCAGACCACTACCAAAGACTGTTCCTGATAACTTCCACCTATCCAGATACGGCCACCTTCAAATAGATTATTCTTGCAGTTGGAACTCGCTAGATAGACTAATAAGGAATCAATAATCAAAACTATATTCACGAAGACTTTAAAAATGAATAAAATAAGACATCGTTATAGCTTAATTAGCAATTTATTATATAGTGAACACATCTTTCAAAAGCGATCTTTTAAAAATTATATGAGCTTGCTTTCCTATCGCATACATTTTCAATGTATAGACCTACCCTTAAATTTAATTTTCGATTATAAATCTTGTACTTTATTCTGCCCTATGGGTCTTGGAGCCTAACGACATAACATTTTGATACGATTGTATATTGGTGCGATCGCATTTTAAAAATATTTTTTATATAACCATAGACATTTTATTAACTTTAAATTGTGATTTAGTAATCCCATTAGGGATGTTTTTTTGTAAAAAAAAAGTTGTGTTCCTTTAGTTGTGAATATGTAATTCGTAAACATTTTAATCTCTTTGGGTAATAATAATACTCATCGTTATTATTATTTTTTCTAAGAATAGTCTACTCAGATGATTTTACTTCATTATACATATTATTAGTTTATTTATCTTCCTACCTTGTAATTTTTATTTACCGATTTTTATATTGATACAAATTATTGTAAGATTTATTCGAGGGTATTATCTATACTATTTTTTTAGCTGACACTCAAGTGTTTTCGTATGTTCATTCTTATTAATAACCAACCTAAAACATTTACCCATATTAATAATAAAACGTAAGAAATAATTTAAATCTCTCCATATCACTCGTACTTAAGTATTTAAAAACACTTGTGTATAATTTTGTAGTCTTAAGATCTTATTTTTGTGTAATAATAAAAACAAACCAAAGACAAACAAAGATAGCAGTTTTTACTACCTTATACCTTTTTATTTGGTAAAATGATCATAGGTGAGTCGTTTCATCCTGATAAGCGAATTTTATTTTCCTTTACTGAAGCATGTACATTAGATTTAGCTTCCCTTTATCATCATCATCAGCCTATGATATCCCTTCCCCTGGGGCTCAGATTTTTTTAATAAGTCGCTTTTGTGATAAGTATTAAGTATCTCTTTTTTAAAGTTTGAGGGCGGTTCTATTTCTTGAAAAAAAAAAAGGGTTTATTTCATGCCGTTTAGTGATATTCTGTAATAGGTAACACTAAAAATATTTAAGATACAAAATAGTCAACATAGTGAAAGTAAAAGGACTTACTTAGAAAAGAAGATTTCAATTATTTGCTCGACATATTTTTTTTCAATAATCTATATTCGAAAGATTTGATGACTTGTTTTTTTTTTGCATAGATAGGCTCTGAAATTATTGGACCGATTTATAAAAGTCTTTCATCCACGGGAAGCTACAAAATAGGCTATAATTTACACTGGCAAAGTCGCGGGGAAACAGCTAGTTTGATAGAAATTGGTTCACAATTTATTACTCAATAAGAAATCAATAAACATTTAATACCTAAATATTTAATACCTACTTTCATAAAAAATATACATCAAAGATTAAAGTATACCATATATATCTGACAAAACAATCATTTCACACCAATAATAATTTCAGACATTGCAATGAATTCCGATATTCCAGTGTCTATATTAAAACTTTAAACCATAATTCTTACTTTCTCAGTTAATATTCAGAATATTACTTAAATGCTTGTGGCTAGATATCTTGATAATATCACCACATTTTGTAAACGACACTCGAGTCGTGACTGAGTGGTGATAATATCAAAGAAAGTAAAACTTTTCACCATAATTGCAGTAATTACAGATACTTAAGCAGATATGATGAAGTCAATGCAAAATTTTCACCGTTTGATGTAGAAAAAAGAATTATGTGGATATTAAAAGAATTGGCTGGTAACAATATTACATACAACAGCATCGGTAGTAGTCCATAATTATAGGTAAGGTTACATAAGATTTGTACAATTTGGTATAGTTTAAATTCATTTATATGCTAAACGATGCTATTACACAAATGAATATGAAGGTTGTTATGTTCATCACATAAATTATTTAGATTGCAATATAGCATGCACTGAACAATAACAATTCAACTTCGAGTCCACACAAATTTACAAATTTTATAAGGATTATAAGCTGTAATACCTAAATCATTGACTGTAACGTTTCGATAGATTAATATAACCTTTTAGTTTAAATCGAGGTATCTAATGAAGCTCTTCAGATTTTTCAGTAGGTGATTCAACTAGTAACTCATCAACACTTTTCATTCGATTTTTGTCTATATTATGAGAGATTAAGTTCACAATTTATAAATATAACTTTTTCGTATTTAGGTAAAATTTTTATATTGTGACACTATAAATGACTTTATAAAATCTACTCTACCATACCTTTTTAAAGTCGTTTCATCTATTTCGGTCTATAATAAAGCTGCTAAGTACTCATATCACATTTTGTTATCAAGACTTAATATTCTAGCTTAATTTGTGCATATAAACGTTAATTATCGTGTAAATCGTCTAAGCCAAATTAATACAAGCAGTTCACGCTTCAAGTGGTGTACTTGCAGGTTTTAATCTGGGTCATAATGTAACTTATGAATAGTAATGTAATATTTTCATAACAGCATTCTTATTTGAAGTAATATCATACTATTAGATAAAGCAACTATGGTATACGTTAGAACCGCAATAGATAAAAGAGTTAATTATCTTTTTCGTTAAAAATAACGACGGTTTACTATTCTGTGGAGATCTATTATCTACACAGTACAATTTATTGCGCAAAGCATTTTGTAATACTGGCTATTAAATTCGAGTCAATATACAAACTTTTCAAGAATGAGGAAGCAAACGAAGTTTAGGAAGTTTATGAAAATATTCCGAAGGTTTTAAACATGTTATTGTTAGGTTTTGAGTTATATAGATGTTACATAAGGCAAATAGTATTAATTTAATAAACTTGTCTCCGAAAGTAAGATGAATTGTCTTGTATACGTAGATTAAACAAAAGATATGACGATATCTTTCTGTCTCAGCTATAATTGTAATTTGTTTGCTTTTAATAATAGTCTATTCAAAAAGGTGTTATCATGCCATTTATTACTATAAGTTGCCATAAAGAAACGCATAAACGTAACGACACATTAGAAATCTTGAAAGTCTTTGTCGTTGTAGAGTTTCCGCTTTTTAGTTATATTAAACTGTCCTTTCTTTTCATTAATTCTTGACGGAGGTTTATTTCCATAGTACATTACTTGTAATGTATTCCCAGGTTTTGGTTTATTTTGGCTAGCGGGAAGATTGTAGTTTCCTTTATTCCCTTCATAAATATCCTTGTCTATAGAAGCTATTGGACAAGCTTCAGGATACGGATCCTGATTCACAGAATAAGGCCGTTCCACTTGATTTTCATATTGGGATGTATAAGCGTTGTGTGCTAGGTATTGTTTGAAGTGGTTCTGTTTCAGTTTTTCCTCCAATTCTTCTAATCGCTGCAATACACACAAGAGTAGTGAAAGTGATCTACAGGTGTTATGACTGCAATTAAATCCTAAGAGATCTCATTATAGTTCTTTCGTGTATTGTTTAGTCACTCATTAATGTAAGTACAGGTTGGAAAAACATATGCATGTAATTAGATTAGCGTTGGTATAGTGTTTGTAATTAACTGTGGGATTTCTATTACCTATAATTTTTCTTAACCTTTTTACGTCAATTATAAAGTTTCATTAAACAAAAATTGTAAATAACCATAACTTTACATGTATATGTATATGTGTAAAGTTACTTGTATATGTGTAAAGTTACTTGTATATGTGTTAAGTTTTTTACGTAAGCATAAAGAAATAATGACTAGGTAAAAAAAAACTATTTAGTCCGTCAGTCAGATAATAGGATAAAGTTAGATACGTATTATTTTTTTTACTTGAATTTAACAAGAAATAGCTTAGATAACAGGCATTAAAGTTGAGGAGTTAGGGCTGGCTACGTCACAGTTTTGTAGAAAATGAAAAAAAGCGTGACGTCATGTGACATTTTAAGTCAATGTTTCGCCGTAATTTAACGATTACAAAAAAATATATGTGTTTAATATTTTTCAACAATCTATCTGACAGACAAACAGAAAAAAATTGTTGTCATCCTTATTAAAATAGCGTTCACCGAAGAGTAAAGGACATCACATGTTCAACTATGTGACATTCGCATGTGTAATGCTTAATTAATAAAAATCTACTTAACTGCTAATTACCTAACTGTTTATAAAAAATTAAAAATATGAAAAGTTACGCAATCTATATTGAAAAGTATGTACTTAGTCATCCGCAATTATTAATATTAAATAGGCATATTTAAATACTTTAAGCTTTCGTTATAAAATCCTCGACACTTTTAAAATATCATTCATAATACGAGGGTCAAACTGAAAGTTCTTAGAACTGGCCACTTATAAACAATATAATAAAAAAATAATTCTAAAATTTGAAAATATAACTCTTTGCCAATATTACTGAGTATATATTTCATTCATTTGTCATTTGTTTTACGATTTGGCGGCAAATTGAAAATTGTCTGTGTCACGTCATCATGAATTTAACACGAGAAAATTTTCGTGCAATGATTTTTTATGACTTTCGATGTCATTTAAGTCAACAAGAAAGTTATGATAGACTACGATTGGCCTTTCACGATGAAGCCCCATCTCGTGCGACTGTTTACAACTGGTTTAATGAGTTTAAACGTGGTCGCACTAATCTCACTGATGATTTACGTGAGGGACGGCCTTCTACGGCGACGACTGAAGATAACATCTGTGTTGTGCGGCGTATGATAGAGACTGACAAAAGAGTGACCTATCAACAGATTCGGACAAGCTTAGGCATCGGTATGAGTCAAGTGCACAAAATCCTCCACGAACATTTAGCGGTCAGGAAGCTTTGCGCCCGGTAGATACCTCATAATTTGACTGAGGCTCAAAAACTCCATCGTGTGGATTGGTGTCGTAAAATGATTGAAAGATTTAACGGAGGTGACTCAAATTCTGTGTTCGACATACTAACAGGTGACGAAAGCTGGATTTACTGTTATGATCCTAAAACCAAAAGACAATCTGCTCAGTGGGTGTTTCCTTTCGAGGAGTTGCCAACTAAAGTGAAGAGAGATCGAAGTGCGGGAAAAAAAATGGTGGCCTCGTTCTTTGGAAGGATAGGTCATTTTGCAACAATTGTGTTAGAGGATCAAAAAACAGTTTCTGCAGAATGGTACACTACCAATTGTTTGCCACTTGTCTTGGAAAAAGTTCGAGAGAAACGACCTCGCAGTAGGATCCTCCTTCACCACGACAACGCCTCGTCGCACACCGCCAAGCGAACGATCGACTATTTGGCGACATCAAACGTTGAATTACTGGGTCACCCGCCGTATAGCCCCGACCTCGCGCCTTGTGATTTTTATTTATTTCCAAAAATTAAAGAAAAACTTAAAGGAAAGCGGTTTATGAATGCTGAAGAAGCGGTGGCTGCGTATCGCGATGCCATTGAAGAGACCCCTAAGGACGAGTGGGCAAAGTGCTTTTCCCAGTGGTTCCATCGCATGCAGCGGTGTATTGACGTGAATGGACAATATTTTGAAAAGATATAATAAAACTAATAACTGGCTAATGTAATCAGTTTTTGATTTTCTAAGAACTTTCAGTTTGACCCTCGTAATTAAACCTAGGTTATTATTGCATTATATATTTATATAGTTGTTTGTTATAAGTAAGTAGGTAATTAAGTATATAATAATAACTATAACATCGTAAAATAATTTCACTTGTCCACGGAAGTCGTCGAAATTCTTACTCAACGATCTTTATGAAAAATGTATGAAAAATTTTTGGAATTGTTGGATTAGAGAAAACAAACCTTTGGACAAACTTGTGCAAACTATCGTAATAAGCTCTTACCCGTCTGTATGCATCGATATTAGAATCGGTGCGAGCTGCTTGACGTGCCAGTTGTTCTTGGAGTTGCGTTATCTGAGCTGCGTCACGCTGTATCTTCTCCTCGTACTCTAAAACTACTACGTTCATCTGTGAAGAACTTTCACCATAAACGTATCAGGCACGAAACTTTGCCCATTACACCGGTTCAAACGCGTGCTCATTGACGTGTCTAAGCATTTTCTAACTGTAGTCATAATAAGTATATAAATTATGTTTACAAAGGAATTATAATAAATTATTTTGTATAAATATCTTTTAAGTGGTCTCTTAGAAATAATGATCATCCTACAGAAGTTGAGTTAACGCTATATAAGAAAATGCAATTTAATAAGAGTCTACTTTCTCTCCTTTAGTTTAAACAGATTATTCTGTAAAGGTTATTTTATTTTTCTATTTATTTTAATATTCCGTGGTGAGTGTGCCCCTGTCACCCTTCTTACGTCTATGCGCAATAACACCAATACTACCAGATATATTTTCGTTATTTCCTTATTATCTTCAACTAAATAGATTTTTATAATTTTTATTTTTCCGAAATAAACACTTATTTACCCGATCTAGCCTATTTTTTCTTTGTGCCTCGGGGAAATGTATTAAACACTACCTGTTACCTGGCAAGCGGCAGGTGTCTGTGGGACTCTTCTTAGCGAACCCAGTGGCTTTGTCACCCAGTGTGTTGGAATACCGACTAAAACCTCTACGGTGTACCCTCTCCCGGAGGCTGAGACTCGGGAAACCGAAGTAAAGTTATCAGGGCACTCCCCTATTGAACCTCGATCCTAGATTCCCCTCGCTGATCGAGAGCGTCTCCCAGAAATATGAGGCCGTGCACTGGAGTGGTTGCCAACTACACCCGCTGGCCCAGTCAGAGGGAAGGATGCGTTTATGCACGATTCCTCTCTCCTTTTCATAGCAGAGAACTAAGCGGAGGCGGAGGGGGTGATCCGCTTCGAGCCTCCAGTGCTGGGGAGCCAAATGGCTGCAGCATACGCTAAGAAGGTGAAAATGTATGCGGGGAGGGATGAGGGGGTGTTGTAAACGCAATATCAAATTTCTGCCCCGACAAAATTTACTTTTCTATTGCTGCCCGAGGCCTCATATGAGATTTATCCGCCACTGCCTCTTCATCCAACTTTAGGCACCATTTACACAAGGTTGATAACCTATACCAGTCATGTCAAAGATACGACCCACGATCACAATATATGACAGAAAATAAAGTTTTAAAATGCACGCGCTTTGTATCTATGTAATTTCAATAGCATCGCGAACCTAGACGAGTGAAAGAAGGTTAATTATTTATGCTTTTCTAATAATAATTCAGTATGTTCTTTTTTTTATATACGCCCGCCTACACATTCTAAATCTAAACATATATAACTCAAAGGTGACGGACGGATCGGGCTGAAATTTGGCATGCAGGTAGGTGTTATATGACGTAGACATCCGCTAAAAAAGGATTTTGATCAATTCTGCCCCCAAGGGGATAAAATAGGGGATGAAAATTTGTATGAAACTTTGTCAATTTTAAATCGATCGGGCTGAGACTTTGCATGCATAAAGCTACTATGACGTAAGCAACCCCTAAGAAAGGATTTTGATAAATTCCACCCCAATGGGATGAAACTTTATTTCAGGTAAGTATTTTACACAATATTTGTTAGAAGTGCTGCTCAAAGTAACTTTACTACGTGGACGAAGTCGCGGGCAAACGCTAGTCTAATATATGACACTCCATAAATTTGAGATTGATACCCCTTGCCTAGACAATCCATCTAGTAATCCATTGGCTTCGTGTAAATGGAGACAATTCTCAAACTAGTAATCAAGCCAGTCCAATGAACAGTTTTTAATTTTTACTAGACTTACTTACTGGATTGTCTCGCCTATCGTGTAAATAGGCCATTAAGGAACATGCCCAAGCACCCCTCGTACTTCCCCCAGGGCCTACTCGCAGGTTTCTTCGGCCGCTACCACGGTATCAGTTAGTTAATGTAAGTATCTACAGATTTATTGCTGTTTCGTCACCTTGTCTCTGTGCTCTGCTTCCATCTCTTTTATTTTGCTTCTCAATTCTTCAATGACACATGTGAACTGAGCTATTTGCGTGTCCGATTCATTTTGGATCTGTTGAACTGTCAGAATATAGCATTTTTAAAATAATGTCGAGAGACGTCTAAAATTTTGTAAGGTGTTACATTTTAAAAAAGAGGAATCTCTAGTAATTCGGAAATCCCAGGCAAAGTGAATAACCTCCACCATTTCTAAATGGCCTACCTGAACCAGAGTATCGTCTGCCACAAAATCCATATTCTCTGTTATTGTAAATAAACAATATAAGCGCACAGTATCGCGTTATATAAGAAAAATCAAAAAATTCAACACTGATGATTTGTTCCAATATTTCATAATAGGCGTATCCGCGTTTTAATTCGATTTTTGTTCAATGATTTGTCAAAGATAAAAAATAATGAATGTATTGTAATTGTATTGATTAAGTTTAGTGTATATAAGATATATAAATAAAATAGCTACTAAATGTATGAATTTATAATACTTGTTACTTGTTTTATAATACCAATAATATTTATAAGAAAAGATGGTAATAGTTGCCTCTTAGTATTGCTGTGCCCTGACAGGGACTTGTACAAAATTTATGTATAACATCCTTATGATTTGTGACTTGCGTTGAATAAATAATAATTGAATTGAAAACTTAAGGTGTCCACTTGCCGGGTTTCCTCTATATCTTTACAACTATGTAATGAGCTCGATAGTATAGATAGTTCTTTTGTAACGGGTGAGCGACCAATACTTATCTCGCGCTATCTGTAGGTACCTATTTCGGAAGGCATAGGTATTTTAAGCAGTCTGTTTCGGCTACATGTTATTTTTGTTAAGCCTATTTTGTTTTCAATGTGACCAACCTGGCAGTGTATGAATGTCTATCATAGCTATATTGAAATTTTATATAAGGTGGGTGGACCATGGAAGGCCACACTAACGAATAAACATTTTTTCTTAATTCATTTACGGATTAAATGAAAACACTTTGTTTAATTGTGTAACTTGAAAATACTTTCTTTTTATTCTAGATATCATCACTACTAATTAAATATTACTTTTATTAAGCTCTTCCTAACGGCCTTGCAAGAAACACGGCTCCATGCAAGGCCGATATTATAAATCAGTCGCTCAACTTAAAACTAGAGTTGGGATTATCAAAATATCCTCTTTTTCTAAAACAACATAGAAAGCTCTTTCATTTAAACGGAGCATTTAATGCATTAAACGGAGCAAAAAATCCATGTACTCTAGCAAGGCCGAATGCATGGGCAAGAACAAATTTTTCATTGGCCTTACAAGGAAACACAGGCCTTCATAGGAAAACTGAAGATATTTTTATTGAAATCAAAACAAAATCATTATTTCTTCTTTCGTAACATATGAAATCCTTTTACGATTATTTTCATAACAAGAAATAATATTATAATAGGTTTTTTACCTATAAAAACTACATTTTGTTGTATGCAAAAATCAACAACATTTTTTGTTCATTTGTTGATTTTCACTTCTTAAAGTGAGGGATCTCACCATCAAACTAGCGTCACAAGCGACTTGCTGCTTCGTCTATGTCCTAAGGTTTAATAAAACTTAGTGTGAGTGGAAGGAATTTGTCATCATATGACAATAACTATGTTTTTTTATAGTTGGCCTTCGAAGGAACATAACCTTCCATGGTCCCACCCACGTTAGTTCCACAAAATAGTTTTATGGGACCTTTGTTAAATGTAATATAATTTGAAAATAAAAAACCTTACCTTACCTATTACCTACTTTAATTTAAATATAGCCTAACCTACCTACTTTAATGACAGGTACCTACGCCTTCAGGATAAAAAAAATGAATAAACAAAACATATATACCTTTTTTCTCATATACAAGTTTTAAATCTTCGATGTTTTTCTCATGAGCGTTTCGTACTTCGTATTCTCTTGTTCTTTGATCTTGTAATATTGTTGCTTTTTCCTAATTAAATAATTAACACAATATATAAGTTAAGAGTCCTTTAACATACCTATTTGAATCGGTAAAGTTTCGATAATTTCTTTTCTTTTCAATTTAATTATTGAAGTCATCCTCATATTAGACAATTGAGTATTACCTAATAAAACTAATTATTTAGTAACCTTTTCAATTTTAGAAATAATTAAATCTTTGCCAGCCAACTCATCTTTCAATTTTTTTACATCTCTCTTTAAATACATTAATTGCGATACAGTTTCTTGGAGATTCTCAATCATTTCACGAGATGTTTGTAAGTGATATCGATGCGACTTCTCTAGTTCTCCTGCTTCTTTTATTTCCACCTCTAATTTTGAATTAACAACTCGTAATTTTTTTAGTTCTTCTCTTTCGTTTTCTAAAACCTTTGAAATACAATCTCAGTATCATAGGTAGATAAAAAAATATATATATAAAGAGTAATATTTAATTCTTTGAAAATATACTTACAAACTTACATTGTGATAATCTTTCAAAAATGTTTTGTAAACGGTCGTTTTGGAATTTTGACTCGCTTCGATCTATTTCCATTTTCCAGTTAAAAGCTTTATACCGTAAACTTGTATAAATTTATTGAAATTAACATCGATCTTTTCAATTTGACGGAACTTCGAATATATAATATTGCGGGAAATTGATACCCTGTAATATTTACATGGTATCAATTTCCCGCTCGTTGTTTTTTTTTTTATTTGACTCCAGCCAGTTTGAGTTTGGGTATGATCCATTTCAGTTAAAGCTAGGGAAACAGGTTTAGGAAAGGCATATCGCTCGTTGTTAAAATGATTATTACCCGGTTCATGAATTAAGAATTTAAAGTTGAGAACGTACTTAAACGAACGTCATAAAACTGTACTTAAACAGGTTTTGTTTCTCATTTCAGTTTTTTTTAATAATCAGTCGATAGCAGTTTGATAAAACAAAGACTTTTTGACCTATAAAATGAAAAAACTTAAGTTAATGAGAATAAACAACTGAGTTTTCATTTTTTTTCATTTCTCAATCCAGAAATCGGCTGTAACTTAAGGGCAAACGGATCTAGCCTATACAGCCTAACTAAGCGGGGGAATTCATTTTACATTCATTAATATATACACAGACCTATATATAGTAGTGAGGACTGACGAGCATGCCTGCAGACTTGCCCGTAGGCATGCTTGTAAGAAAGATCTTAAAAAAAATCGGTGACCGATTTCTCAGCACTTTTGTAACCAATAAAAAAATCAGGAATTCAAAATCGTAAAGAGAAAAAAATCATTCACGTCATTGATGTTATCAACTGAAAAAATATTTTAAGATCTTGGATAGATAAACTTCCGACCCAGGATACAAAATTTAATAATTTTTTATTCATTAATTCATTTTAGCGGTACATACCGATTTTGTAAAATATTACTCTGTGGTTTATTCGTTTATCTTTACTCTTTGTTTCACATAGGCCGCATACGCCACTAAAACGAGAAAAATGACAGATAAAACTGAGATGAAAAGACTTAACCTCTTTGATTGTGTGATTTATTTATCTTTATTTCTCGTTTTTTAAAGCGTTGCGTGAGTTGTGTACATATATTTTTTGAAAGTAGTGTGCCCATAAAGTACTTTGTAATACCTACATGTTAATCTGAAATCTGTGTATTGCATAAAATTTTAAAAAACGATGACGACCGCTTATGGTATCCATCTGGGTAATCAATCAGCTTGTTTAGCTTCTTTTACCAACGGAGCTGCCGTAGTGATAGCCAACGATGCTGGTGACAGAGTAACACCAGCTATAGTAGCTTTGAATGGGTCAGAATGGGAGATCGGCCTTACAGCCAAATCTGGTCAAGCTCTTACTAAATCTATTGTTAAACACAATAAACGCCTTATGAATTGTGATTGGAACGATGAAGACTTGTCTTATGTTGAATCTTCATCCTCTTGCCGTATTCAAAATGAAGAAACACTAACATATGAATTTGAAACAAGTGAAACAACTCAATTCTCAGGTCCTGATAATATTGCCACTAAAATGTATGCTAAATTATTTACTATTGCTAGTCATTCAATGAGGAATGAAGGTGATTTGAAACTGGTTCTAGCAGCACCTTTACATTGGTCTAATGAGAGCAGAGATCGTTTAGTGAAATCAGCTGAATTAGCTGGATTTGAAGTTCTACAAGTTATTAGTGAACCTGCAGCAGCTATATTAGCATATAATGTTGAAGAAGTGGAAGATGACATTAATGTATTAGTGTACAGACTGGGTGGCTCCACATGTGATGCATCAATACTTAAGATTTCAAATGGTTTTATATCAGTTGAGAAAAGCATTTTTCGTTCAGATTTAGGAGGGCAATGCTTAACTAAAGATTTGGCAGAATACATTGCAAAAGAAGTAAATCAAAAATGGAAGTTGGATCCAAGAGAAAGTAAGAGAGCAATGGCTAAATTAATGCATCATGCTGACAACTGTAAACATGTGTTATCAACTCTAAATTCTGCTCATGTTTTCATTGAATCATTGTTGGACGGCGTTGATTGGAGCCAAAACATATCCCGTGCCCGATTTGAAAATATTATTTCTTCAAAAATTTCAGTTTATATTGAACCTGTACAGAAATTACTTGAAAACTTTGATGGGAAAATAAATAAAATTGTTTTATGTGGTGGCAGTATGAAAATACCAAAATTTCAATCTGCCATAGCTAATCTTCTTCCAGATGCTGAACTTCTTTCTGGATTAAATCCTGATGAAGTAATTGCAATGGGTTGTGCTCGGCAAGCTGGAATGTTGTTTGATATTCCAGAATTTAATCTTCATGATGTCAGTACTGAAGTGGAATTTTTGGGAAAAGATATTTATTTGAAATATTTAGACCAAACAATTCAAATATTCAAAGAAGGGACACCAACATATGCTCAAAACATATGCAGTGTGAATGCTGGAAAAGATGTAAAAAATATAAGCTTCAGTTTGCATGAGAATCCTGAGGAAGAAGAGTTTGCTAAGGAAACATTTGATGTTGAAAACATAACTAAACCATTTACTTTGAAAGCCACTCTACAACATTCAAAAATATTGTTACAAGTTGAATAATAAAATACTGGATATTTTAATTGGCTATTAAAACCTGCAATTCTATTTCATAATAATCATATTAATCTGCATTTTTATTTTCATAAATAGGCGAGTTGACTAATAGATGTAAACATATAACATAAGTCTTAGTCTTAGAATGAAATACATATTACCCTATATACAATACTAATCTATGGTATTATCATTGCATATTGCATAAATGTGGAATATTGTTAAAAGCTACCCAAATAAATTGAGAAAGTACCTTTTAACATAAGAGAACAAAAGTAAATGTATTTTAATTTATTTCACTTAAATTTCCAGTAATACATAATTTTAATCCATCACTAGTTTACTTGTTAGCCCACCAGGGCTCAAGTAAACCATTACTTGAGAGTCAATCGAGTCGCTGTGTCTCCTTAAGCTTTTTTAATGGTCTTTTTCTGTTTTACACAGAAATTCTGCAAATGTCCCCTAATGAAGGATATGCATAAGAAATTGCTTGGTAATGGTTTTACCATTTATATCTCTTTTCTTCCTTCCTCATCAAACACAAAGCAAACGTCACAAATTTTATTAATTAAATATATAATATAAAATACGGTAATAAGGAATTAATACATAATAGAGGCATGTGCATTATAATATAAAGGGGATTCGCCAAAACGACTCCAGACCCTCTTCTTCTTCTTTTTTAATTCATGGCCTATTTGCATATAAACTAGTTAAGACCCGGCGCTAAATAAATGTATGTCGAATATTAGTGTCAAAATATTAAAATTGGGTACTGGCGAAACGTATTGCGACGTTAGTGCCCAATTCGGTGGGACTTTCGAGTGTCAGCCAGGTTTCAACAGAAATAAAGATATTTACAATTACATAGAATATGTTACTACCAAAGTAATTTGTCTTAAAATAGTAAAATAATAATAACGTTGATCAGCGTGTAAAAAAACTAACGTTTATGTTAAGTCTATACATTGCGGTTTTAAAAGATTTTTGTACTTTGGTACCTTTGCGTTTCACGTACTCCATAATACGAAGGCTACTTGTCTTACAATTATAATTATGTTGTTGATGTTTATTAAGTCATTTAGGAACGTTCATATCTTTAGGTATTGAATACTCCATACAAATTAGTAATAAAGTTAGAAAATAAAATCAAAAGTACTTTGCACCGGCTCCCTTTGAAAAAACTTATTACACTTTTATTAAGAATTTAATACCAAGACTATAAACAGACTAATAAATTAAAGCAAAAGTAGGTATAAAACATTTTTATAATTCAAGTCTGTATCTTTGGAATCGCAATTAAGTTTTAATTTGAAATTCACTTACTCTCTTGTGGAAGATTTTAATTCAGGAATTGGCAACCCCATAAACAAAGTTTCATATCAAAAGGAAAAAAATAATTTATTATTTTCATTATTAATTGATCTAAATGGGCATTTAAAGTTTGAATATAATATTTTTTATTGATTCCATTCTTTGTTTGTAATTCCTGAACATTTGAAACTCGCAAACTTTAATTTTTAAACCGCGACAACATAAACGTTTTTCTCTGTTTTTTACGCACTGACAGTTTTGATGCTGAGTGAGATATATCGCTTCACAAAGCCGATATAGCGATATTTATTGATATATTTTTTGGTCTTTAAGTACTAAATCTTTTTTATTTATTTTATTAGGGTGGCTAACTGCTTGAATTACAAAGTAACTTACAGATTGCTTGATAAGAGCAAACGACAAGCCTCCACAGATGGCGGTAAATTTAACAATAAATAAATATCTCTGACCTTAGTAAAGAACAATGTTATTTAAATACATTGAAGTGCAAAAAACAAAAAGTCAAAATCACCAAAATAGAGAACATAAAACAATATAAATAATGAGCCGATCTATAAAAAATAATCAATAGCACTATGGGTGTTGGCTATAATTCCGTTTATGTATGACAAGCCGTCCGAGAATATGTCAAGTGAAGTATCTTGACCCTTGTTAGTGGCATTAACTTATTTAGATACGCGAATAAGAAAGGCATTGCTACGGTGAACTGTACGTGAAAATGGAGTATGGAACAAATTTCTAGGGCGACAGTGTCGAGGTATTAGTACGAGTAACGTGGTATATTTCATTTAATTTTTGCAACCAGTTCAGGGCAGTCAACTTTATTTTGCGCTATTTTAGAGAAGTAACGCACATCCGAGATTTTCCTACGGACCTCAAGGGGAAGAAGATGAAAACGAATACATCTATCACGGTAAGGCATTACTGGAATTTTAAACTTAAAGCATAGGAATCTGGTGAATTTTCTCTGAAAACCTGGAGATTTGAACTGAGTAATTAGGGTTCCAAATTTGACTGGCGTATTCAAGTTGACTTCTCACGTAAGCACAGAACAAAGATTTCAAGGGCTTCATAATACTAATTGAACCACTGTTTCTGATGATAAAACCAAGTGCGCCAGAAGCTTTCTTAGCTATTGCATCAATATGTGGTTCAAACAACTGGCTATTTAGATGGAGGCCTAAATCACTGATATCATTAACAAGATTTAAGATATGATTGTCTATAGTGTAGTTAAATTTGACAGGATTCCTCTTACGAGAAAAACTAATTGCCATACATTTAAAGATATTCAGATCCAATCGATTTGAAGTGCAATAATCAGCAACCCGCAACCGATCTTCCTGTAGTAGAAGGCTGTCCGTTGTATTATCAATAGATCTATATATTTTCATATCATCAGCAAATTATAGAACATTAGAGTTTCTAAAACACGTGCTGATATCGTTTGTAAAAACTTAAATAAAATACGTTTAATCATTAATATATTTTAAAAAAAAAAACAGCCAGTAGGTAATGAGGTAGTATTATAAAAAAACGTAAACACTAAAAAAGCACCTCCACTAGATGGCGACTCTAGCAAAAGTTGATTTTTGCAGGAAACGAATGGATCAAAGACAGCCATTTCCGTTCCTATTAACTAACTGAAATTTGAAAAGTTCGAAACTTAGATATAATACAAAAGATACAATACAAAAACGAAAAAGTACAAATAGATTGTGAGTTGTTTATTGAGTTTTGGAAAGTAATTTACTTTTAAACATGAAAGAAAACCGGAAAGATTGTCATGGAGAAATCAATAACGTACCGTGGCGACATCTAGTTATCTAGTAAATTTTTTAATACTTCCTCATTAACGTGTTACAAGGTTTAGCGTGCTAAAAAATTTAACGAGTCAGTCTTCACACACCCTTACGCTTCTTTGATTAACGCGTTAATAAATTAGCGCCTTTATTAACACGTTAAAAAAAAGAATATTAGTCTATAGCGCGTTAATGTTAATGATTTTTATTCTTTTTGAACCCTGCACTAGATAAATGTTTTTTTTTTTATTTCTAAAAAATCAGTAAAAATATAAAATTAAAATATGAATTTTAAGTGCTTTAATTAAAGTTAATATATTATTAAGTATTTAAAATGAATATCCACCTAATTAATATCATTGCTATTATGTTTTACCACGCGCTTGAGATTACAGCCATTAATAACAATGATGTACGAAATCATCTTGGAACTCGGACTCCTTACCGATTTAGGTATAACAAGAATGATTCTCGAATTAAATACCCAGGTAAATTTATACTGTCTTTCATCTGTGAAGGTACTTTATATTTAAGTTTATTTTTTAAAGTTTAAATATTTTGTATTGTAGGATGTAGAGATGCTAGAATATGGATGATCATTCGCCATGGAACAAGGCTCCCTAGTGCTAAGGATATAGTTGGAATGAAAGATATTCTCAGAGATTTGAAATATGAGATTTTATTCAACCACAAGAAAAGCAAAGGTTATATTTCTATGTAATTTATATTAGTAATATTCCATATTTAAAAATAATTATCTTCAATTTTGTGAACTATTTTTTTTGGACTATTGCAAAAATAGTGGATTGGTAAAGCAGTCAAGTTTCATATTACTTCACTCTATCTTATACTTGTTTTCAAATATAAATACTGAAGTCTTGCATCAAATGTGGACCTGAATCTACCATTTTTCCAAACAGAGCATAAACATGATAGGCTGCTATGATCAATAAGAACATCTGGTATACAATTGAGGGAAAGTACTTCACAGATACTAAATTCCCATCATATTTATAGTAATTAACGGACAAAGCCCAGAAGCTGATTGCAGATAAAGAGAATTATATAAAAAATGTTGTTTCATTCCTGTTATGTTTGAATTTTAAATAAATAATTCATTAAAATACCAGTAGGTTATCTTGATAAAAAATAAAATGAATACAAGTGGGTAGTTGGTTTATTTTCCTTTTGTTTGTCATTGTGTGAAGCTACACAGCCCAATAAATGAGATTACTTAGTTTTGTGTTTTAATGATCATAATAGTTCCTATTTTAATGTAAATTATTAAATATTGCTTTCAGGTGTTTTGAATTCAGAACAACTCAAAAGGTTAGAAGAATGGTCAAGTGATATTGATATTGAAGAAGAGAAATACCTGACACGAGAAGGTCAAGATGAAATGATATTTCTAGCAGAAAGAATGCAGAAGAGGTTTCCAAATGCCATTAAATCAAAATATGACAACAAAACATTCTATGTAAGTAAGGCAATGATAAGTTGACTGCAGGAATTGCACATGGTGGCTATATTCAAGAATATGAACTATTAAGTAATTATAATGTTTGTGAATTGAAAATCTTGATTTATTATTTTTATAATTTGCACAGGCTAGTATCAGTATAATTTATTGTCGAATTCTATTTTATTATGACTTTTATTTCTAGTTTCAATACACTGCTACTCAAAGAGCACAACAAAGTGCCAGATATTTTACAATCGGATTATTTGACAAGAAAAATTCACAATCTGTGATATTTTCCCCTGTAAACAAAATTGATCCCATCTTGAGGGTAAGTAATACTGCAATATTGTTTATGCTAGCTTTTTTGCCATAACTTCGCCTGATTAAATTATAGTCATTTCATCTGTGTAAAATATAGCTAACAATAGGTGAAAGAATTTTCATGATTGTATCAGTATTTCTGAAGACAAACATACACATAAAAGCTTTACTACCTTCTAATATTAATTAAGATAATCTATTAATAGTTTAAATCTTGCTGTGGTCAAATTACCTATATAAGATATAGACATAAGAAGGTAATATTTTAAGATTTCTGAAAATTTAATGATTCTTTTAAATACCCTTTTGTCTAAATATGAAATATTTTATACAGAACTAGCTTTCCACCAGTGGCTTGGTCTGCGAGGTTCTGTATTATACTAACATATCAAAATTCTATTGAATCACTCTATGTATTGATGAAAACAGCATTATAATCCATTGTGTAGTTTAAAAGCTCAGTGTACAGATATTGGGAATCAACTTCATTTTATATTTAGATAGATGCACTCCAATTTCTTACAATAAGTACTAATATATAATTCATTTTAAATAAAAAATATGCTATATACAAGTCATCATTTTGTATTTAGTTATATTTTTTGAATTTAATTTTTTTTCTCTCACCTTCGTATCTATAGTTGAGAGAAGTAATTATGTTAATAAGAACTATGAATAGTCAGAATACTATTATTAGTAGCTATTAACAGTTTTTACTTCATTCAAATTCTTATTTATTGGTTAAAAATGTATGCTGAGGACATTTTCTTAAGTAATTACTCAACTCAACTAGATAGTGTGTGTGTTTTTTTTCAGTTTTATAAACACTGTGACAAGTGGCAAAAGCAAGTTAAGAAAAACCCTAGTACTTATACTGAACAAAAATTGTTTGGAAATAGTTATGAAATGAATAATACCTTGGATGTCATAAGCCAAAAATTGGGTCTCGACAATGTATTAACTTTAGGTTTGTAAAGCTATGTCAATTACATCATTGTAAATTAGCTTGCTTTGCGATTTGATACAATAGTTTTTATATTTTTGATTGTAGATACAGTGTTTAAGTTGCAAGCTTAGGTGAAAACAAAAAGGAAGACATGGCACTGGTAGAATAACCATTGCAGTTAAACAATTACATATACACGAATAAGCATTGTGAAATTCTGTTAATGGATAACAAAAGTTCCTTAGTCATATTTCCACTCTATTCCATATCTTGTTGCCAAATACCTTGCGGGGTAAGCAGAGAGAACTTAGTTTGAGGCAGATTTTACATTTATTCTTTAATTTCTTTGACATTCATAATTGTTTTCATGCATGCTTACAGATTATAGCTTCTGACAGCACCTTCCATTAACACGTGCCCAATGTCAATCAAACGGGCCTTGGCGTTTCCCGGCTTCTATATCCTCTTGTTATATATTAGTTTAGGCATTATTTTTATATGTTTGAACCAAAGAAGCATGCCTATGTTAATTTTCACACCAACGCAATCTCAGTTCAACTCTTATCTCTCAATTATTCATTATATAGTCTGCTCATTTTACTTGCCTGTTTTCTTTCACAAATTCCGCATTGTGTTTAGCTAAATGCGATTCCGACCAAAGTTTTTGGTGACTCTTTCACTCTCTTAGAGTCTTTCAGAATTTTTATATTGCTACCCTGTCTCAAGATAAGCCATGCTATCCCAGGCCTGTGGATCCGGGATCGTGTATTGTTCGTGTTTGAAGGTAATTGGGGTGAAGGGCGGCTGGTATATGCTCAAGTGTGCGGTGTTGAGCAAGATATGCTTACCGTCAAGTGTCAGACGTACGTCCACGCCGTTCACCTCGGTAATACTTGGGTCTATTCACAGGCACCGCACAGAACTACCCTGGGACCCATGTAGCTAAACGCTCTGACGCTACCTCACTAGTGCACTCCAACACGGTGAGGGATTCCTTAAACTTTAATTCCTATGCTCCCGCCTTTTTAATTACTAATCCCAGCTTTATTCTCATTTTCTCCTTTCACTTTTTCCTAAGGCTGACCTACAAAGGCCTCGGTTCTATCGGGTGTTGGGGGGCGATCCGATAGACTAATAGCCCCTCCTGCGCTAGGGCCTGTGCAGTTGAGCGCCGTATGGGGGGATGAAGGAGTCCTGGGGGGTTGAGTGGAGCAAGGTCGGCGGTAGTACCTCTGCGACACAACACGCCCTCTTGGGTCCGGATTTCAATCGAAACGGTAGCCTCTCTGGGTACCACCAGATTGGAAATGTTCATGCGTCCCGTCAGAGGGCCGCAGCGAGATTTGGGGAGGTCCGGCGCAGCTTGCTGTGCTAGATGGTAAGGGTCATGCTGACGAGGTGAGAGTGAGTGGAACAACTGGATACTCTGAACCGGTAATCCAGCCGTTCATTTCAAGTCTCCGATGTCGCACCTGAGCACCAACTCCCTGCATCTATATCCAGTTCGTAATCCTAGTGCACCTTTTGATAGGGCACTCCCAGATGTGCGGGCTCCATGGAGGGTGGGAAGCGGACTGGACGAATTTAATACATTAAGTTATGGACACCAACAGGTTCGGAACATTTTTACTACCAAACACAAACACTAGTACACTCTCTCATGAGCAGGCCTTAACGGTATCCTCAACAAATACACCCCAGGCGGGGACCAACACACAGCTGGAGCAGAACTGGACGCTTGTGAGCAGGATGGGCGGGATGGAGGTGGTAGAGGAAACTCTGACCCCAACCGTTCAGGCTGCTCAAAGGTCGTCCAGGAGGAAGGAAAAGCAGAGGGCCAGGATGCGAATGATAAGGCAGTTCAGGAGGGCATCCCGAATGACTGCCTCGACTACCATCCAGATTGCCCCGACCACCGACATGGTACAGGGAACGCAAGGAGAAGCGAAGATTGGGAAGTTGGGAGACCTGCTACCAATCAAGCGAGTCCGAGTGATGCCCACGCCTAGTCGGGACAAAGAACCGCGAACGTATGGGGCAGCAAAAGGCAACTTGTTGCCTGAGCAATCTCACACGGGACCGGGACCGAGTCACGGAAGGGACCGCCTACAGCAAAACACCAATTCCTATGCTTCAGCAGCAGCAATAACTGCTGCAACTGCTTCTTCATCAGACACACGATTTTCTGTTACGTCGAGTGAGGGGTACATCTCTCGAGCGACGGCGGAGCTAATCAAGGAGAAGATTGAAGAAGCAATAATACACATTGCAAAAACGTACGACCTCCGTACATGTGCGAAAGTTGGTCTAGTGTTTAGTGGTAAGCCACTATATGCTAACGGCTGTCTTCAACTTACATGCGGTAACAATAACACGCTAGAATGGGTCCGACAACTAGTACGAAATATGCAACACCCAGATTGCGGTGATCTTGTTGTTCTTCTGGCTGATGAGATCCCGCGAATGGTCGGATGCGGTTTCGTACTACCAAAGTTATGGAAGCGTGATCGAGTGGTACTTGGTAAATGCCTGGCAATCGGCAATCCAGGCCTAGATACTGAAAGATGGTTGGTCAACGGTATCCATCTGCAACCGAGAGTCGGCGCTACCTTCGTCATCCTGTCAATTCCGGAGGATGATGTGCATATGATACTTGAGAGGGGACGCCGTCTCTGTTTCATTACTGGGTCGGTGTACCTGAAATTCAGGGATGCGAGAGGAAAGTACGTTGACACTCCCCCGACGAGTAATCCACGCGCAATCCTCTCGCCACCTATGATATAACCTATACTGAATCCCATACCTCTGGGACGAGACTTTGGCTCTAATGTTCGGGCCAAACTAAAAGAGATGCCATTAATTACCGCGCTAATAGGAGTGCCGTTTGTGATTAGCGGGTTTAATTAACGGCATTTCTGGTTAGTGTGACCTGGCCATAAGCGAGCGCGTCTCTGGGTCTCATTTTTAACAATATTATCCTACTGTAGTGCCTAGTTGCTACAGAACAACTTCCATCACAGCGTTACTGCAACTGATCAGCTCCGGAGGTGGTTGGAGATCTACTATACTGTGGCCGCGCCCAGCTAAGACGAATCAGCCGTTACAAAGAGTGTTTCTCATGAATCGGGACAGGCGGGCCTGGCCTACACCCTCAATACACAAAACAAGGGCAATTTATACATCGAAATGTAGAAACCCGAAACCCACCAAGTCAAGTCTTGGCGTGCTCCATACTTTCAGAAAATATTTCCGATACCTAGGTCTGTGACAACCTATTCGGGTTATTTCGTCGTCTTTTGACCACCGTAGCATGAGGCACTAATGGGAATACTAAGGGTTCTCACCTACTGATGTAAAAGACTATGACCCGCCGACGACGGTCTCGCATAAAGGTGTGTATTCACAAAACTAGAATAATTCTAATCTATAGCTATAGATATTTTAAAATTTTTAGTCCAGTCGCCGAAGAGGATGACCAGCATATCATCTTATTCACTTGTGCGCGAAGATTACTGTTGCGCTCGCAGATGTATCTGGTCAATTTTGTGATAGTAAAGTAAACCTTAAATGTTATAGTAAACAGATATTAGAAGCTCAAAGGTCAACTCACGAAATTCTCCCTGTTCGGTGACCGGACTATAATAGTTTTTGGTTTAGACGTCCTTTTAGAAATAACGTGTTATAATTTTTAACATCATATAAAAAGCAGAGTATCTTAGAAGCGTACAATTGACTGCATAATTCTTTTTTTTTTACTTTAATTTAAATGGGCTACATTTGATATTATGAATTAAGATTATTTTACTTGACCCTTATCCGGAACTTTTGCCGGTCAGTTTAGTAATATCTCTGATCATATATGAATGTGCCATATCTTTCTTTTAGTTAGAGTTCCGTTATTTGATTGTCACAAAGTTTGTAAGTTAGATAGCATGTAAAATAATTTTGAACCAAAGTATATTTTAAAAATTTGTCTCCGCTGTTTTTTTTTAAATAAAATAAAGCACTAATTGAGAAAACAAGTCCAAAATACTCGGAAAATGTGGGATGCTTACTTTCCGTTAGGGCCAAGTTTGGTTGCCGGGTACAGTTACAAGGATTTGCCTATATCCATCCTTGTTATAAGAATAAAACTATTTTGTTTCGTGTAGTATTTAATATACAATTAACTACCATGCTTATTTTATTTATAATATTATATAAAATAATTATAAAAAAAAACACTCATTTTATGCTCGTTGTCACGTGACTGCAAACAGCGCGTGACGTGACGGTCCTCTAAGGAAGATTTCAACTTTGACATTGACATACATATTGACATACAACTGTGGCGAGGTTAGCGTTTTTGCGGGGTTTTTAACATGAATTTTACTTTTAGATTTTTAATTAATCTATGAGAAATATTTCTATATATATATACATATTCAAGTATATCTATAAAATAAAAATATTTAAAAAATCGTCTACACCCGTATTGTTCCTCTGCCATCTAAATACGTATTTCACGCATTATAGTCTTTGTTGTGACTTCTGTTAACATTAATTCTCAATAAATATACTACATACTATATTTAAACTTATACCACATTTTTATAAAACTAGGACTAACTTTAGTTCCTGGCTTAAATCATCCGTTCAAAATTAGTCAACACGCCTCAATTTGATGTTTTCTTTTCAGTCACTGTCAAGTTGCTTTTTGCGGCCATTGATTTAAACCAAATCCTGACTTAAGTTCTCGTTTTTTATTACGACAGTACGACTTTGTCACAGTCAAATAACAGTAGAAGGGACGTATTTTAGACCAATTCTCATTTTCATTTAAGGACTGCTTTTTTATGCTAAAAATATGATTGTCGCTTCCTTCTAAAATAGACGATGAATTTTATAGCCCGATATTTTTATTTACAGAAAAAGTGAACCTTATGTACAAAATTTGTGGCTTCGAAACCTCCTGGCATAAATACCGTACATCCCCATGGTGTTATGGTTTCGACAAAGACACTGCTGAGGTGATAAGATATACTTTATTTCACGAATCTATTAAAAATATATAATCCACTTGGTTATTTTGGATAGTCTATGGATGCTCAAAGGAATTCTGACAGTTATGCTATTTTTTGTGTCAGATATCAAATATTTTAAAATGTCTATATTTTCATCTCTTTTTAGGTATTAGAATATTATCACGACTTGAAACATTACTGGATGGACAGCTATGGCCACAATTTGACCTACAAACAAGCATGCATGGCTATCAAGACAATGTTTGAAGATTTTAAGTAAGTTTGATGAAATAAATTTGATAAATAATAACACTGGACCAGTTTGTATGATGCAGCATGTTAAATGTTAAATTATCACCCATTGTATTATTATTAATGCTGATATTATAAAGAAAAAAGATCTGATTGTTTGTTTGGATTGAAGAAGATCTAAAACTATTGGATCGATTTTAGAAATTCCTTTGCCTATGCAAAGCTACATGGTCAATCATTTATGTGGGGGAAGTTGCTGGAACATTTATTATTGTAATGGGTATTGTTTTGGCAATAACATGGTCTATACTACTGCTAATATCCAATAAATTTCTTGCGTCCGTGAATTATTTACATAAAGTCATTATTTTAGGAAAAAGAGCGAACCTCATGCAACATTCCTGTTTGCACACTCGGGAACGTTATTGAAGATCCTGACACATATGCAATTGTATAAGCCGAGCGCACCATTAACTGGGCACACCATAGACAAGAAGAGGAAGTGGAAAACGAGCGACATAGACTGTTTTGCATCTAATTTGGCTTTTGTTTTGTACAAGTAAGTGCAATAATAAGACTTATTTGTTTTCTTATAATAATTAAATAATGTTCTTTTTAAACCTGCTTGGTTGGTCTCTGGTCAGTGTAGAAAAGCTTTGGTTTGTTTTTCAAATAGGTAATATTATTTATAGAAATTCTCCTGTAGAGATAGAAATAAATAAAATGTATTATATGTAATATGGTAGGTAGGTACAAATAACCATGCATTATACAAATTACTATGTAGAAATGCACCTATAATACCTATGTACAAATCACCATGCATTGTAAATGTTGTTACTTCTATTAGAGCTGGTGAGTTTCTTTAGCTCGTTCTTCTTATCATCCAAAAGAACCACATGATTTGATTTATATATGTATATATTTACTAGAATCTGTATATATCCTGTATTTAGTATAGCTTTTATGTTGTGTCCTGTCTACTTTTCTTTTTTTTTGCCAGATCGAGAACGGTCTCCCCTTATGTGGGCTTGGGGAGTGACCTCACTTTGAATATACATGATTCATTAAATAAACACCTACACCTATATAAATGCATAATTCAAAAGTATTTTAAATATAGCATGATTGTGAGTTTCACAAACTTTTTGAGGGCTAAATCCGCGTTTGTGGTTAAAAACATAAATACCGTGTATTAATATAATCTATTTTCAGATGTGAAGACGGAAATAAAGTATTGACTCTCCACCAAGAGAATATAATCAGACTGCCGATGTGCGAACATGACCTCTGCCCATTAGAACATTTGGAGAAGCATTTTCACGAATCAATATATAATTGCGATTTCACTGACATGTGTAGTCTGAATAACACTATTGCATAAAGCTTGCTACTATATTGATTTACTGTTAAGCTTCATTTACATATTACGTTGATAAGTAGGTAACTACGGTCAGTTGCACAAACGTCCATTAAGGTTTAATGACGCCTTTAAGCTCTAATGAATGTCAAATTAGTATGGGTAATGTCGCTTTAAACTAATGAGAATGTTAATGGACGTTTGTGCAACTGGATGTAAAGTGATTATTTTCATGTAAACAACAATTTTTGTCTATTCTTCGGCTAACAGGCACAATATTATTTAAATGCATTTAGAAAAGTGTTCGGGTTAAATGTTTGTGTTATAAATTACTGATTAAGTTAAAATTTAGTTACCTACTTGTTAACGTAATAATGAGCTTGTCAATTAATCATTGTTATTTTTATATGAGCTAGTTAATGTGATGTTCGATATTTAATAAAAGTAAGTAAAATAATTATGAAGTTTTTATTTAATACCAGTTTTTATCAATTGGTTTGGGCTGTTACAAACATCTATGCTGTGCCATCAGCCCTGCGATTCTGTAATAATCCGAACCCGAATTCGAATTCACTAAGATTTCCGAATTTATTTCAAAATCGGCATTCGCTCAACCTTGAATTGGTAATAATGTTTCGTGGTTTAAGTGAAGTGAGTTTCGAAATGACATAGTAATAGAATATCTCAGACACGTATGAATCAATCAATCTAAAAGTATTGTTATGCAAAAATGGAATCTATAGTATTTCTACGCTAAATGACGTGAATTCGGGTTTGGATTTTAACCGAATCTCTCAGCTGTTCGCAATTCTTCGATGAGAGAGCCTATACGAATCAGCAAATAACTTTTTCATCAATGATATGTCAATAATAAAAATGTCGAGTTAAAACAGACACAATATGCATTATATACTAATGCGATTAATAGGAAAGATTCGTTTGTTTCCAAAGAGTAGGCTCCGAAAGGACCAATTTTAAAAATTCTACGAGAAGCTACATTTCACGCGGCTGACAGGTTATAATTTACTCGAGCAAAGTTGCAGGAAACGGCTAGTGCATAATAAAAGGAGGTAATAATAATAATAATAATACAAAATATTTTTTTTTGTACACGGCTAGCCGTAGTTTTAAAAACGTTTTATTGATTTTATTAATGAAATAACTTTATATCCTTTTAAAATGTACTTGTTTAAAAAAAAAATGAATATATCCGAACAAAGTTATTCCGAAAATTGAAGTAAACCAAAATTAAATACGTATTTTAAATAATATTAACGTATTCATTGATAAAATCATTAAACTGTTCGTATAGCTATTGGCTAGAGTTATAACTAGGAGAAAGACAGTCGCGGTGCTGAACAGGATTTATTTTTACAATTCTATTTTATTTAAAGCATGTCATTGTTGTTTAAAGCAAGGAAAAATACAACATTTTATGTCCCATTTTTGACGTTGCACTTTGCAGCCAAAGCTAAGCGTTTCTTTGAGAATTTTGTATTTTCAAAGACATAGTTCATGTATCTTATCCTTACTTTGTACCTTAACAGCTACAATTTTGTAACTAAAACAGAAGTTGAAGTGTAGTTGTTTTCGTTGGAGTCGTTACTGCACACATTGTACGCGTCTGCCTCATCTTTATTACAGTCGTTGTTTCTTGAACTACAATACTTTTATTGTTACAATAAAATTTTAACGTAGCGAACGAAATATATAGGAATGTTATGGTTGAATAGCATACGGTGTTCTATAACAGAACTATGAGAGATAATTTTTAATTTATCTATTATTTAACTGTCGCTAATTTCTCTGGTATTCTAGGTAAATTGTTGTTTTTGCGTTTATTATAGATAACACGGATAGTACCCGGAACTAACGGCTTAAGGTGCTGTTCAGGCTATTTGTACTAATTAGAGGAAGAAATGTTGACAGTTGACATCTATCAAAAATTCTATTGTCAAAGCAAACCTATGGAAAATAAATTGTATGAAATTTAAAGGAATTTCATTATTTAGCACAAACAGGTGCCTTCCGATGTCGTAGGTATTCTGCATTTTTGGTCACCTATCTTATTACCGGCCCTTGCGAAAGATGTTAAATATTCATATCGTAAACAGATCGCCCAACCGTTGGGCCAACGAGTTCCTCCGAGCAATACCTATTAATAACCTTTTTTTTTTGTCAACGCATGGGAAATGCACCTTAAGCCTTAAACCAGGGTTCCTCTTCCACCCCGCCCTTAAAAGGGCAGGATAATGAGGAAGCCCTGCTTGGTAAAACTCGCTGCGATTCACCTCACGCGAATGGATGAGTCCGGTATCCAGCAAGGAGGGCCCGGACACCTATTAATAACCTTCTCATAAAGTAAGCTTCCAGAAATTGTATTTGTAGTTTCAATACGAGTATTTTGTTGTGGTACCATGAAATAAATTTTATGTAATTCTACCTAAAAGTATTTATCGTTATACCTTAGTAAATAGGTATAAAGGCAGAATGCGCGAACGATAACTCTCAAACAGAATTAACGACCGGGTGTTACAATAATTCGGGACGTTTTCCAGGTCATGAACGCATTTAAATCTTTTGTTAAATCGAAATCGCTTTGTATAGCTTTCGCGATGGGAGGTAGTATATTCTTTATGAGTCGTCAAACGAACACAGTGTAATAAATCGATTCATTACATTTCATAATTTTAGATTTAAAAACTACTTAATATATGGTGAAAGCACAATAATATCGGTGATTTTCTCCAATTAGTGCCTTCTGGTTGTGCTCCACAGCTTCTAATCTGCTGGCTCTCTGCAGGTTGGTTCCTTCTCCGTGCCACTACCGCTGACGTCGTTGTTGAGAGGCATGCTCTCGTTGTTGTTGGGAGGCAAACAGCGCTTCACTGCCTAGTATTGCCAACGTGGGTGGTAATCGACCACTTTGAAGACTACTAAAAATTACTTTAAGTCAATCTAGCTTGTGGGACCGTGAACATATCATAGTATAGAGCGAGGGTTTATTGAACGACTGAAGTTTAGCCATAGAATTTATTTTTGGTAACATTCAAAAGCCTTATGTTAGAAATCATAAATATCGTACCTGCAGAAATGATATCATAGCGCCGTCTATTATTCCAAATTTGAACCAATTATATTATTTAAGTACATATAATAACTTTATATTATCTTTATATACCCATATGTTTATTGTTAATTTCAAATACATTTATTTATCTATTTAATTATAAGTAGGTACATTTAATTTATGAAGAGCTTGTATAATAAAGTGATGTGGGTCTGATACATTAATGTTACGTTAAGACAATATTACCATGATCTACCTACATAAAACTCGCGCCCTACGCTGTACTAAGACCCCGCTGTCCGCCCGTACGTCTATCTGTCTGTCATCAAATTGTACCTATCTCATGAACTGTAATAGATGGATTTATTTCAAATGCTGTTCTAACAACAAATAGCAATAAAAACACTATAAAATAAATATATAAGGGGGCTTCCAAGGTGATTCTTTGCTCGTTTCTGGTACGGAACCCTTCGCGCGCTAGTCTGACTTGCAATAGGGTGTTTTTTTTTTTTAATTTAACTTAATAGAATTAATAGAATGAAGAAGATCACTTGTATTTTTAATTTTAGCATACATGAATAAAATATGGACATCATGTCTATGTCTATCTTTTGTTCATGTTTCATTAAACACACTACTGTAACAATAAAGAAAATATTATAATAAGTTATTATCAATCCTGAAATGGGCGGAATAACTTCATCTACCTAAAATGTACCTACCTTATGTAAAAAAATTAAAACCAATTTTTTTTATCTATCCGGTGTTTATTAAAAAAACCTATTTCATTTAAACGCAATCTCAATGTCAATCCAATAACGATCTGCTCGTACTCTTGAAACACAGACTCAAAATATCAATAAGGATGATGACTGGGTAAAAAAAATGCAATTTTATTTAGTCCGTCAGTCAGATAATAGATAAATATTAGGTACGTATTTTTTTTTACTTCAATTTAACAAGAAATAACTTAGATAACGGGCATTAAAGTTGAGGAGTGGGGGCTCGCTACGTCACAATTGAGTAGAAAACGTAGGTACTCTAACGTGACGTCATGCGGAATTTCAACTCAATGTAACGCCGTAATATTATGATTACGAAAAAAATAAAAAAATACGTGTTTAATATTTTTCAACACTCTATCTGACGGACAAACAAACAAAAATTAGTCATCATCCCTAATAGCTTCTTCAATAACCACGCAATATTAACCAAGTGTACCAAATCAAGAACGTCACAATTGCTATGTCGATCTATCGGCAATTGCCTTTGAGAATAAGTAAGCTGGTGGACATTAGTATTTATTAAAAATAAAAATTGAACATCAGCAACGACGACAGGATTTGGCACGCATTCGGCGATGCAAAGAGTTATATTGTGCGTTGTTTGCCAGAAGATCCTGGGCACCATGCCATGATCCAAATACTGGGATCCTAGATGTAACGCTAAGGGGCGTGTAATCGAGATTAAGTGGAAGTCAGAATTTATAATCAACGGAAACAACAATTAATGAAGTATTCGATTAAAGAGAACAAGTAGGCAATCATCACCTTATCGAGTGTTTGAAATAAATAAAAAATTGAAATTAAAGTGTCCAAGTGTTCGTTCTCGTCCCAGAAATACATTTTTATGTGTGAAGGTATTTCGTAATTTGTTGCACTACCTATGTATTTATGTATCTGTAACATTGACAATAATATCATTATTTATTTAAGTAGAGTATTTGATTTATATGATCAAATGACCAGAATTCCAACTGGATGTGCACATTTCATACACAGATTATCATGTGTTATCCCTATTTTTTCGCCGTTGAATTTTCGGAATGATAAAAATGCAGTTTTTAAAAGAGCTTGCAGCCTTTTTATAAGCTATTACTTTCAATGTATACCTATAATGTGGGTTGAGTTAAATATAAAATATATTTTTCGCCTCTTGAATTTTCGGAATGATAAAGACGCAGTTTTTAAAAGAGCTTGCAGCCTTTTTATAAGCTATTACTTTCAACGTGTACTTATAATGTTGGTTGCGTTAATTTCTGCACTTTAATTTGGAGCTGATATCCTCGATCGATAAAGCTTAAAGGACATCGCCGAAAATAGCCCCAATACCAGTAAATATTAATACTTCAATAATAATTATTACTTTATTTATTAAATTGGTATCAAATATTTATGTGATACGGACAAGCTGTATTCCAAAATATTTAAAAGTACTCTAACAGTAACATTTTTATTTGCGAATATTCACATTCAATACACTTAAATTCTATTGAGTTAGATGGATGTTATTTACACGTCAGATCAAGAAGATCATTTATTTTTATTAGATAACCTTTAAATCATCGAACACAAAAACATTAAACTA